CAAAATGAAGTTATTGGCCAGGCTCATCAGACTCGGGTCGTAATATTTGGTATTAGAGCCGACTTAGCATTTGAGTATGGTGAGGGGGCTCGAGTAGGAAAGGGCTACCCGTAGACGGAGTCAGAGGACTCGTCACGGCGTGGAGCCACCACTGGGCTACGCCTCACATGCACCATGCTAGGGTCTGATCTGGATTATGTTTGGGCGTGATTGTAACACCCCTGATTAGTCCCACATCGAAAGTGGGCAAGATTAAGATTGGCTTATAAGGGTGAGTGTACTGCTATCAACTTCAGCTTAAGCATTTTGGTCAGTGGTTTAGACCAAACGAAGTTGATAGGCTAGTTAGCCCATCAGGCTCGGGTCATAATAGTTATAATCTTCCCGACTTAATGACTTGACGTCCTCGTCAAGATCCAATATAGCCCAGAATTGGACCTTGACATGGTGCACATGAGACCTAACTTAGTGGTGGCTTTGTATCGTGACTTGTTCTCTATCTCATCCACAAGTAGCACTTTCGTACTCGAGTCCCTCACTATGCTTAGTACTGGTCAACCTTGATATGATTTGTCACGATGCAGCATGATGTAGTGATTAACCCATTAACTCGTTGAGTCAAGCCCAAAATGTTTAAGTCCAAGCTGATGGCTATCAGGATCTTATAAGTCAATCTAAGTCGTAGAGGTAAAGCTCTATCGTTAAAATTACTTTGAGTTTTGAAGCAAATTAGAGAATAAATGATTATTTAGATTATCTTAGAAGATAGAATATGCATGAAAATATAAAAAATGAAAACACGTAAGAAGAGAAGCAAATAAATTTTTAGCTTTTTAGATAGGTTCACTTTTTCTTGGCTCTGAGTTGTGGACATTTGTCTGTCCACTGAAGATTTTTACTAATGAAGAATCAGGCTGAAGGAAACTGAAGTGTAAGTGATAAAGACAACTTCCGTTTTAATGAGCTTAGCAGCACCAAAAAGCCCTCTTAAGTATGTGCAGGTAGAAGCCATTTGTGTCAACAGTACTCCCGGTGGAACTAGTCAATCTGGAGAAGGCTTCACAGCCTTGAGTTGATGCATTCTTTAAGGTATAGCTTGAGCGCTCGGTTTCAAACAAGATAATTTCCTGATGTTCGACAAACTGTTTTTCTTTTACAAACTACTGTTCAGATTAATAGATCTGCCCCTGTACATGGTTTACCTGGTCATGATGCACACTAGATGGGCTGGGCCCTTGAATGGATCTGATGTCCCTCAAGTTCTATGACATCTAGCAGCAAAATCTAAGGGCATGGTTCAGAGTTTATAGTTGTGCCTGGATGACCTATGCAGTGTGCATCACAATGAATCAAGAGAAAAGGCAGTAATAATTACTTTGCCCAGTGACCCAGTTACCTTAAGGTGTTTCTTTCTTGGGCTATATTCACCACTAGTTATAGCTGCTTGACTTAAAATATCACTTTCGATATATTGTTTTAGTTTCTACCGTCACAAAACAGTTGTCCATGCACCAAATGTACTAAATGAAGATTTTAATGATGAAGAAATAAAGTTGTTTGATTCCAAACTTGTTTCTGGATATTTATTCGTAGCAATACTATGTTTTAGAATTTTAAATGTTTATTTGTGTTGAAAGTTAATCATAAAGATTAGTTAGCATCTCGTATTCTAATCAACATCTAGGAGTCTAGGAGGATAAAAGCAAATCTGATTATTGCAAAATGTAATACTTTTATGCTCATAATGTATCAAATTGATTGTCATATCCATCAATAAATTTGCTTGTATTGGTCATCTACACCTTCACACATATGCATCGACCTTTTTTACATTCTATTATACAATTAGAATCTGTTCTTATTTAACATTGAAATATATAAATTCAGCCTGTTTTAGTTGGTACTGACCGTGGAACTTTCTCTAGGCAAGCAGAGGACTCGGCCTTACCGCAGACATCATTGACCACTGTAAATTGGTCCTTAAATTTCCTGAAGGCACAAATAGTACATGGGTCAAGCTCTACGATCAACTTTTTCCAGGATTATAACATGTCATTTTCTTTCATTTGTATGAAATATACTTTCGTTAAAGAACCTGTCTCAGATTCAACCTTATTCTCTATTTTTGCAGTATAATGCACAGTTTAAAATTTTTGAGCCACTGGAGTATAAATATGATGTCTGTGAAGCCATTCTTCTATGGGAACAGGTTCGATTCCTTTCAATAAATTATCAATTTGTTTTCTATGTTATGCACTAAAGACCAAAATTTCGCCAGTATCGTAACATGACTACGGTCTTGACAAGGGAATACCTAGATGTACGACCAGATGGATGGTTAGATTATGCTGCAAAAAGAATTGCACAGTTGTGAGTTACCATGTGTGCAAGGCTTTCTTTTGTGATTTAATGCTCGAGGTGACTCAATAAGAGCTTCTATATGTTATCTTGTTTTTAGGGGTGCAGATAAATGTTATAATCGCTCTATTTGTGAGGAGCATCTAAACTTAATATTACCTGCAAAGCCTCCCTTCCATCCCCAGCAGTTTCGGACATGTGCAGTGGTTGGGAATTCTGGGGATCTCTTAAAAACAGAATTTGGACTGGAGATTGATGGGCATGATGCAGTCTTTCGAGATAATGAGGCTCCTGTTAATGAGGTAGAGTGTGTTGATTATTTTTGTTTGATCTATATGTATGACTGTAACTATTTATTTATGTTTGAGGCTTAGCAATTTCAGCTTCATATTTCTGAGATTCTTTCTATATTTTCTTATATGTATTCAGAAGAAAAGTAGTTTGAAATTTCTGGTTTTATCTGACACTTAAATGATAGTTTATTGAAATGACAGCTTCTTTAAGGACCTAACAACGCTTGGTTCCAGACTTTGTCTCCAAGGCCTGGTTCAATAATATAGTTCAGCATCCAAAATATACTGTTCACTTTCTGGCCTTGCTGGAGTTCTCAATGCCAGTGTATACAAGTGATACAACTTATCAGAGAAATGCTAGATTCAAGATGCATTAGTTTTCAAAAAATTTTAAGATGTGCCCATACATACAGACCTCATACATATATCTTGGTGGATTCAAAGCATCCTGTTTTCTTGTTTTTATTGTGTCACATAGATGTTTTCTAAATGTTTTTGTTGCTAAACAAATCTCACAGGCATTATATTGTTGTAAAACTGAAGATACTCCCTTATTGATACCTAAGCCACCTTGTATATTGTTTGATTGGCCTCCATAACGCAATTACTATTAGCTACACTGCATCACTTAGTAATAAGCTTTTATCTACAGTCCTGTTCACATTGTCAGTTTCCTGGCGATGTAGACACCATCATGTTAGGCAGATCCATCTGACTTGATATCTCCCAGATTGAGCACTTCACCAGGCCTCAGAAGCAGAAGCTTACGAATAGTTTGGATCTACATCCTGTGATTACCAACTAATCTTTATTTGTCCTTCTGCAGAAATATGCCAAACATGTTGGACTGAAAAGGGACTTTCGCCTAGTTGTAAGAGGCGCTGCTCGTAACATGGTTGCTATTCTCGATGGATCTTGTAAGATTCTGGCTACATATACAAAAATTACTGTCATCAGATGCATTAACATCTCTAAAGCTGCTAATAATTGTATTTGATAAAGCCTAGGCATGTTAATCACAAACAATATTGTTTTGTAAGAATGTTAAGATTTTTGCTCTATGAAAATCATATGTGCAAGTTAAAGTTCTTTATGTTTTTAATGCCACGTTGAATTTGCCAAGTGTTTTTGTAGGTGATGTCTGACTCTCTGCAATGTATCGCGTAAGGGCCTGATTAAGCTTGATAAGTTTTTGATCATATTGCTCGTGAAATTCTCAACTCTGAATTTCGCAAAATCTACATCTTAGAGCATCTGCAAGTAATTTTGTTGCCATTATTGTACTTTGGTTCTAATGATATGAAAATTTAATAAGAACAAAAAATGTTCTGTTTTCATACTGATTTAGACATACAGTGACCTTCTTCAGTGCATAAAAGAATAGCTGTCAAAGCAGAATTTGGGTGCATATGGTGATTCTTGAATATGTGATCTGCACTTGGCGCACCATCAGCTTACTGAATAAGAATGTGTTAACAGACAGGAGCTCATGATAGACTATCTAGGGTCAAATACAGTTCAAATATGGACATAACTTGAGGAAATGAATTATTAATATGTTTTTTTACTGTCCGTGGACATAAGTTCATTGGTCAATAACAGGCCTGAGATTAGAACCAAAAAACTTTGGACAAATTTAGCAAAATTATGGAATCAACTTGGTTAGATGTTTAATAAGAAAGAAGTAAAAAAATGTAGAGAAGGCATGATTCTATATATGCAAAACTGTATGTGAAGGAAAAAGAAATTTAATGCTACTAAAAGATTAGCATATAATTTTGCAGCTTCCAAAAACTTCACAAATAGTCCTAAATGATTCTATGGAACCAATTGTTAAATTTATGAGTAACACTGAATAATTATCCAACAATTTTGAATTATTCGACTTAAGAGTATGGCGAATTGTTCAGGGAATTATTTGATAAGGTAGACCTATAGTCAAATTGCGAGCTTCTAATATTTCAGTGAATAATTTATTTTCTACTTGGCTACAATTGCCATATACTGTGGCATTGTAAGTTGTTATTGTTATATGTTTGTTGGCATGCCGTTCCACTTAGTCCTTGGATTCCTCTCTTAGGATAGAAAATTTTGACAGATATATTATTTAAGGCATATACATTCAAGAATTGGTCATATGCAAGTCTTGATGTATTACTTCTGTTCTCTATGAAGTATTTATGGATATTATCTTTTTAACGGTTCACATGTTAAGTCTTAACAAATCTTGAGAAGTCATTATTATTCTCTTAGGTTAACGTAAAGTAATTATTTTGCATCTGTATATGAAAATTGCAGCTGATGAGGTGCTTATAATCAAGAGCGTAACACACAGAGATTTCAATGCAAAGATAAAGGTGATCGTTTAATGTCACCAGCCCTTATTGTTAGTTGTTCTTGTGCACTATGGTGGGCATCTTTAGAAATTTTATTTATATACAATATATTCTTTTTATAGTAAAATCTAATAGGGTTGTATTGCCTCCAATGCAGGAACTTCCAAATCCTGTTTATCTTTTCCAAGGTATCGTCTTAAGAAGGGGTGCTAAGGGAACCGGAATGAAGTCCATAGAATTGGCTCTCTCCATGTGTGACATTGTTGATATATATGGTTTTACGGTGGATCCCGGCTATACAGAATGGTCAGTATATTTCTAAGAGCGAATGTCTACCTAATTCAGTATCACCATGCAAATCAACAACCAGCCATGTTTTACCATGTCTATCATAGTTCTACTAGGTTTATTTTAATTGGACCTCGTGTTTGTCTCTATTTCTTAGACATCCATAATTATGTCCGTACAGATTGGAAGGAAGAATCTTTAAGATATCATCGCACATTGCTGAAATTTCTGATCACCGTATCGTAAGTTTGATTCTCGTACAAAAATCATTTTATGCTTCATATTTGTTTCTTCTAGGACACGGTACTTCTCGACTCCCAGGAAGGGGCACAATCCATTGCAAGGAAGGGCTTATTATCAACTGCTGGAGTGCCTCGGTGTAAAGACCTCCGTGTGACACTCGATTGGCCCGCGCATAGTTTACTAACTTTCCACATTGTTGTCCATGTAGGTCATCAGGATCCATTCTCCTATGAGAGCTCGGAGGAAGCAGGATTGGTCAGATGTGCCAGGCAAAGAAATCATAACAAGTGCTCACATGGCTGCGTTGCGTTTGAAAAGAGAAAAAACTGGCCAAGAAGGTGATTTGGGACCCTTTGGTAATTGCAAGGTATGGGGTACGGTAGACCGAGATGGACCAGTGTCAGGATCTCCCGACATGGCCGACGCTCGCAGCAAGTCAAATTACAGTAAGTGGGAGCTCCTGCCACATGAGAGCTTAAGAAAGGAAGCACAAAAACATTATGCCCAGATGGGTCGCGTTTCTCTTTACAAAATGGACGGGAACAAACTGGATGATCTCGTCTGTGTGAGGCACAGCTTTTAATCTGAAGTTTAGAGATAAATAGGGGTTCTGGTTCAACTATCGGTCCCATGAAGAGATAGACAGGGGAGCAAGTGGAATGAAGCTGCATTAGTGCTCGAGGAGGTTAGGTTAGAGAGCAGGCCTTGGTGCTCCGCAGGACGAAACTATTATTACAAAGCAAGAGTGGCTTCTGCTTTATTGGATGGATTGAATTGGGAGACTGCAGAACTTCTCCCTCGAGAATATTTACTCAAAGACATTTCCAGGCAATATCGATGCTTTCATTCATTTGTACCTGTCGTTTCAACTTTTCACTGGACCATCACCTTGTTTTTCCTATAGCATCTTCTGGTGGTACCAATCATACAACGTTTGCTACAAAAGCATTAAATAGTATAGCAATTGTTTCTGTCATTTCGGTATTTAGAATTTTTTTTTATTTTCTGTTATTTGGCCTTACTGTAGCTAGTTATCTTTAATATTCTGATTTTTACATTTTAAAAAGTTACACTAGCTGAAACATTTAAGTTTATTTACTTTAAAGATATCAGTTTTATCAACGAAAATAAAGATAAAAATATAATTTTAATGTTATGATGATAATAGACAATGGTGCCACTAGTGTCAATGCCGATATAGTTGTTGAGTATTTCTTTCGTCGCTCTTTATTTGTATCGGCGTTTCGTCGTCATGGAATCAAAGTTCACTACCGAAGCTATCGCGGAGATCCGTCATCTATCAAAGTAAGATCCGGAGATGCATGCCCTATCGGATGTTGTCGGCGGATGTTGTCGGCGTCGTGCCCCTCCTTGTCACTCGCCTTCTCAACCACCACCACTCGTTCGTGGCCCAGGAGAATATTGTCGCTGCCCTCCTTAACTTGTTCATCTCTGCTCGCGAGGTGCTCATGTGCACCCCAAGCATCCTCAACGCCCTTGTCGTTGCCCTTCGTCTCCTCCCCCATCGAGGTCCAGCATGCCACTGCAACCCTTTACATTAGCGCCTTTGCCTTGCTCTTCCCCCTTGTGCTCACCCCACTGTCACTGCTAGCTATAATAGGAGGACTCGTTGCTCAATTTTTACGTTGACATCAGTCTCATCTCCTTCTATTGGATTATGAGTCTTTGGCCTAGCTCAACAGCTACCGACATGTCGATGGCATAGAATGAGCCCAAGTTTATTTTTGAGCCATGAGGGCTCTGGCTAATGATGACAGTGAGGTGAGCATGAGGGGGAAGAGCAAAACGGAGGCGCTGCTGTAAAGGGTTGTTGGACGACGACAAGGGAGAGGAGGCGAAGGGCGATGATTAGGGTGTCGAGGATGCCTGATGTGCACCTGAGCGCCTCGCTAGTAGAGATAGAGAGATTGAGGAGGGCAACAATGACATTCTCTTAGGTCGTAGACAAGTGATGGTGGTGGTGGTTGAGGAGGCAGGTGGTAAGGAGGGGCATGACATCGACGTTGACGAGGGAGGCTTACATCTCTATGTCTTACTTCGATAAGCGACGGATCCTCGCGATGGCTTCGATAGCGGACTTCGATTCCGCAACGACAGAACGTCAACGTAGATGCAGAGCGACGAAAAGGTTGCTTGACAATCGTGTCAGCATCAACGCTAGTGGCGCTACTGTCCGCCACCACCGAAACGTTAAAATTATATTTTTACTCTTTATTTTCGTATTTTCATTGGTAAAACTAACATCGTAGAGTAAATGAACCTAAGTAATTTACTTTCGTAATTATATTAAGGCCAATGTAATTTTTTAAAACATAGAAACCAGAATACTAAAGAAAGATAACTATATAAGATAATCTATAATTAACCCTATAACTACATAGGATAATCTATAAATAAGAAATATGTATGTCCAACTCTTGAGTTCCTGTACGTTGATCTTCTTTGTTGTCGTCGACAGATTGATTACTTGTCTGCAGAACTGAAGGGAAACCACACCTGTGGAACAGTGAACTCATTCGCAGTGTCAGCTGCAATTAATACAAAGGAATTCTGCAAACATGAAATGCTGGTTCCGAAACACAAATCAGTTCGCATTGCTTGGTTGAATTTTTGAGTTCCACAGTGTCGACGAGGAAAGCAGCATATAAAATCATGAAGCAGAAATCTGGTGTCAAAAGGTATAACATAAAATCCCCAAGTTTTTCGTGTAAAATAATGTCATTCCAAACAGCAATCCGCAAATCATCTCAACATTCTGCCAGCATACAAATATATATTATGCTTACAATTTGGCTACTATATTACATCTACACAGAATAAGGCATAACAAGTTTGCTACAAAAGTGTGATATTTGTTATTTAAGATGACAAGTTCATCATCAACAAATTTACATAATTGAAAGAAGTTAAGGGAAAAAAAGAACAGAAGCAATCCTTTTGGATCCAAATAAAAGCGCTCCCATCTCAACCTCTTTTTAAGTCCACCTCAGTGAGTGTACATCATGGGGTAAGCAAAGCATTCAGCACATCATATATCTGCACATATTTACCATTCCTGAATGATACCAACAAAGACAAAATTTAAGTACAAAGTTGACATATATCAACCTCTGATGCTGTGCTATACTTAGTTTATCAAATTTCTAGACGACACCTGATGTCGTAAGCATACAACTAAGAAAAATATGTCGATCAACCAGATGCAACCGAAGTATTGTAGATTAAGCAATGGCTATGCGTCTAGAGATTACAAGTAGCGTTGTATATGTCAATACAAAAAGATGGGTGCTAAAAGTTCTAATCTCTGATCGTTAACATGCAATCCAAGACAGACTGTAGATTCACTGAAACCTCAGCAAACAAACTGGAGATTGGATTTAAATGGCATGTTTTAGAAACTCATTCCAGGTTTACCATAATGATCCTTACAAATGGAACCTGATATGGCCAACATTTGAGGCCAATTGAGATACGCAACGCAAATCCCAATCAGCTGGACCCTCCCTGTCAGCATAAGCCGGAGAGAATATTATTCCTCAATATTTCTTGTTCCAAGAAAATTCTCCTCTACTCTATAAATAGGAGTTCATTTTTTATCCTAGCATAAGACCTCGAGATGAATTGAATGTCGAAGGAGCATCCACCTCCTCAAACTCCATGAAGGACTCGTGTAAGGTAAGTCATCCTAAAGGAGAATCCACCTCCTCAAACTCCAGTTCTCAGTATGTGACAGCCTTCCGGAAGTGGACCAGGTCGCGCAACTCAATGATGTTGATCGATGACTAATTTTGTCACCAACAGTTTGGGCCCTAAAAACAGTGTCACATAAAACCGAGATCAAGAACTCCCTCGAGAACATGTCAATGAGAAGTCTCCTCATCAGACCCTTGTGATGATGACCAGCATTGTCTTAGGGGCAACATATGCTCGAGGCTGGACCTCGCTTGAAGGTCCAAGGACACACACATCCACTTGCCCAAGTCGACAAGATGATTGTTGTCCAGTTGACCGCATTAAAGATGGTCATCATCCAATCGGTCGCTTCGTCAAGTTGATCATCCTGAATTTTGATGCCATAATGTCAAGGCAACCACATCAAAATCAAGTTGGTCACATCATCATGTTGCTCCTGCCTTCACATTAGTGATCCCATCAAGATGGCCATCATCGGGTTGGTCACAATATCAAGCCACACATCTCGGTTCTAAGCAAGTCAGCAGGTTGCCTAACTTGCATTTAGTTGCATGACAAAGAAGGCAAGACATTTGCGGAGAAGATGCCAAAATCGGGGAGTTCCCCACTTGCCATCGACTTGCTCCCAACTTTACCATGTCGTGAAGCACGCTCCCTACCTACTGACGACTACACCCTTGAGTCAATTGTGCTATCAATATAATTGCTTCCTCAAGAGTCAAGATGACCTCAAGCCGACCATGACATCAAGTTAATCATGCTTCGATCATGTCCTAAAGTCGATCGTTGTGTCTGCAAGTTGATCACGAACTCATGGAAATTGCATTTTCACACTGGCCACGTCCTTAAGTCATACATACCCTCAAATAGGTCGTGCACTCGAGATGGTCACACTATCAAGATGGTTGCATCTCCAAGTCAACTCCTTGTTCAAAATGACTGCACCCTCAAGTCAGTTGTCCTCAAGTCAACCGAGCTCCCACGTCGATCATCCTTAGTTCAGACACCGTCACATTTGTTGTGCCTTCAAGTTGGTCCTCCTTATGTCAATGGCAACCTAATAGTAGACCTCTAGTAGCATTTTTCTTCCTCCCCCATGGCGATATACCAATACTACAACAATCCTATAGATTATTCAAATTGTTCTAGACTGAGATTAAATCCTTGGTCCAATAATAGCCTTGGACATCTATCCTCTAATTTTTCCTCCTAGGCAACAGGACCCTAGTAAACACTTGGCCTAGAACCTTCTTATTTTGCTTGAATAGCTACTTCTTGGATATTTGATATTTTTTAGTGCAAAATTTCTTTCTTTAGTCTACATCACTAACTAAGAAAACATTAAACTACTACCTTGCACTTTAATTGTAAATTCATCATGTTAATTTAAAAACACTTAAAAGACATTAAAATCTCCGATTAACATGATCCAGCAGGAATCACGATAAGAGTATCTATATCTTGAATCTTGACACCCATTATTCTGAGAGAACCTTTAATTTTTAATTTCTTAGTAAGATCTATTACATAAACCAAATTTCTCTTGTAAAAAAAAAGCACCATAGGTGTATGTCATCACATCAAAATCCAGAATTTTGATGAGAAAAAACTATCTACTCAACTTAGAGCAAAATATCTAGATAAGAAATCAAATAATTGTAAATGCCAATCTCAGATATACGGACCCAAGGACCATTGTATGTTTATTGTACTAAGGATTCATTGTGGAAAATCAAGCAATCAAATCTTTGATGGTCATACCTGTCTAATAAAGGATTCTGTTGTCAATAATGTCAAGCTTGCAACAGAAATCAGTTACTAGTTAATCCAAGTCAAAATGAAAAAAAAAATGAATTGGTGCTGACTGCTAATGAGGTCACGCTCAATCTTACTCAACCAACTACAATGGTTCCTATTTTGGTTCCTTATTAGATGGCTTAGTTCTATCGGATCAACGATACTTTCTAAGCCCAAACATCTCATGCAGAATCTTATCATCTATAATGCCTTAATATCAATTTCTCAGCAGCAACAAAAGTAAGTAGAAGGAAAACCCAGAGCGACTTTAACTAATAGTCTGAGGCAAAAATATCCAAGAAAAGGAAAGACATCATCTAGTAAACCGCATTATTTTGGAGATAAAATATCACAAAAGGCTTATTGGACTGATAATACCACATTTTCGTCTCGTTGGTGAAACAGTGTAAAAGACTAGAGTACAATTATGCAAGTATAGTTAAATTCATAAATTTCATTTAGATGACTATTTCTCTATTTGTGATGCATCTTGTCATTTCCTTCTGAACTGTAATAGGTTTAAAACAATCCCCCCTGAATAAATTTACTGTGACTAGCTATCGGGCACCAAGTTTAGATAATTAACATCAGGTCTGAAACAGCCATAAAATTCATATATTGCATGGTGCCAACCAAACTTCATTTGCAAAAGGCTTGCAAAAGTGAGGTTGGTCAAGATTCCTTCGACATTGAAAATACTAGAAAAAAAAAATTCCTTCCATAATTTAAATTTACTGATTGTTCACCAATTCACAAATTAAACATGCTATTCATTACTAAAAAAAAACTTTGCAAGTCACAAGATGGATGACTTGTAATTTGTCATGCCTATTGTGATCAAATCTTTTCATGATTTCCTTCTTTCATTTGCATCTTCACCAAGGTTGTTTCTACTTTCTAATACACCAATTATTCAATGTTACTGATTTTAACAAGCAATGGATAGCTTTATTTCATAACATATAGTAATGCCCAACATGCATAGATACATACATCAGGATGATTATAATATCATCTAATCATGTGAAGTTATCAGCAAACTGATAAATTTGACTAATTATGACTTGCTCAACCTGATAGAAGTGGGACACAAATACACTAGTGTTTAGTACCATAAAAATGCTATACTCCTAATTCCTAATATCAATATATCATCTAATCATAAGTGAAGCAATCAGCAAACTGCTAAATATGACAAGTATGACTTGCTAAACCAATGAGAGGTGGGACAAATATGTACTACCTTTAGTGATTAATACCAGAAGCATGTCCAGATTTTTGGATGAAGCTCAATTAGGACTGGAAGTTGCACAACAAGGCGCCGATGAAGTACCATCACTTGGATGACTGTCAACTCGATTCCCAGTAACCCCTTCGTTATTCACTTCTGAAGCTGAGTGAACTTCAGCATCATGAAATGTGAAAACATTGGTTCTATTTTCTCTTGTCTCTAGGCGATCTACCATGCGTGAGGATGTATCAACACCAGCATTAACGTCACTCCTAGCTTCTGAACCAAGATCTGCCACAGAACTGTTACGAGAAAAGAGCCTCTCCCTCCATCCTCGAGTACTCTTGGTGATAGACTCTTTATACCTAATTCGCAGTAAAATGCATGTTCCAATTCCTCACACCTTCTAGGCAACTGAAAAATAGCAAATAAACTTTGATATACCTCATCGAAACAGAATTCAAACGAGATCTCAGAGATTCTGAGAAAGATTGCAAATCTGATGGTCCTGGTCTGTCATGAACAATTGGAGAAGACTGGCCAGCAAAGGTCCTGTATAAAAAATGACCATGATATGGATGTCCTATAAGGTAAAAAAATGAGAGAAAAAAGCTAGACATAAATATATAGACATATGATCCCAAAGAGCACCTGCTAGCGGAAAGTCTGGGCCTGCTCTGGCTGGTAGTAATTTCAGTAGCTATTGCAGCACTCCTCTCACCTTGAGCTAGATTTATATGTGTTCCTTGGCTTGAAGATTCCTCTGTTGGAGCATTTAGAACAGATGATGGGCTGGCAGCAATTATAGCAGGGATCGATTCATTATCTCCTCCTTGTGCCGAAGAAGATCGATAGCCAATATAGGGTGCATTTTGATGTGGGGAGAAAACCAGAAACTGTGAGTGCCGATGAGATCCTCCCCTACCGCGATGCCCTTCTCTCCTAGAAATATGATGCACTCTTCCCATCGCCGCAGCAGCCGCTAAATGCTGCATTATGCGCTCTTCAAGTTCTGTGTCATTTCCACCCAACTGCAATATGGATCATAGAACTTTTAATCTTCTGTAATTTAATTAGACGCACTACAAAGAAAAAAAATCAACAGAATCACCCACATGCTGCAGGTCAAAATCTCCAAGTGCTGGGTGACGAAATATAGTTGCAGTTCGTGTTTGGTTTATTCTAATGTTCCTCTCACGTTCCACAGCCTCAAGGAGTTCCTGGCTGCCATAATCAGCATCAAATACTCAACTGATCAGAACAACTTCATTTTTGAAACGAGTAAAATATATCCCACAATAATGTGTTGCATCAAATTAAACCTTGTCGGATCCTTCAAAGAGATAGACTGCCAGCACATAGGACATTGAGAACTTCTCTGACACCTGCAAGCAAAAATCTTCCATGAAAATTATACATTTTAGTGGATATTGACAATTCATGCAACGTACACGTTTTGCACCTCCGAGTTTCAAAAGGAGAAGAAAAAGAAAGGCACACAATAAATCATAGAGACTTAGTGGATTTCATCATATATGAAGGTGGTAACTACATTCAGCATTGTAAATACCCAACATGCAGCAACATTCAGCAAAACGAAAAGCAATAGAACTTAACCTAGCTTACAAAAAGAATTGGAATTTACACCAAGAACAAGAAAAGTAATTTCATAATGACCAAACATAAGAAACAGATAGCACATGCTTAGTGAGGTGAAAAGAGTAACATAACAAGGTCTTGTTCTTTCGACCATAAAATGCTCCAAAAGGACAATGGTCATGACCTACACATACCTGACTAATCGGTTCTCCACCTACAGATACATAACACAGGAAACAAAGATAACTAGTAGAAGAGACTATACCACTCGAGAATGCACTGGAGATGGAACTCATGCTTGCATCCAGTAACCTAAACAAGCAACATTAAATGTAAAACAATAAGAAAATTAGTCAGATCGATGGAAAGAAACCGTAAAACTATCATCACTGCGGAAAGGTCCACCGAACCACATACCGTCGAAGGATCGCTCTCACAGAACTCTTCAAGACAAATGCTGCAGGCGTCATCGCAAGAATCTTGGATGCCCCCTTCGACAAAAGCAGCAGCTGAGGACAGATGTTTCTCCATCTTCGCAGTCTCCTCCTCCATCGCTAAACACGACAAGAGAAAGAAAAGGAAAACAGACCCTCAAATCGATTAATAGCCGTAAATCTAACACGTGTCACCATAAAATTCCACCAATACCAATCATCGACAATCACCAAGCACATAATATTCATATAAAATTCATTGAAATTCAACCAAAATATCAAGGCGAAATCATCAACCCCGTATAGTCCAGCATCTTCGGCCATAATTGCTGCGATTCGATCAAGAACCAGAAAAACCGAGGCGTAAAGAAGGGGAAAACAAATCAAATCAGATCCCCGAGGCAAGATCGATAAACACGGAGGAATGAAGCTATACCTAAGGCGAATCGCCAAAGATCAGAGCCGGAATCGACGAATCGAGGGTTCTCCGGCTCGAAATCAGGAGAGGCGCGAGGCGACTCGTTGGGGGGGTGGGGGCGATGGGGGAAACCCTACGGATGGAGGGAGACGCTCTGTTCGCTCGTCCCCTCTTCCCTTCACGCTCAGGAAGGAGGAGGAGATGAGGAAGAAGAAATTGTAGGAGAGCGCATCGATTGGGCTAATAATTAGCGAACGAATCAGAGGCAAAGGCGGCCTTCTTTTCCACCGTTTGACCGCCTCAGCGAATGGGGTAGGGTGGGAGCGAATTCCAACGGCGGTCGCAACAAGCATGCGGGCCCAACAGCCCCAACCGATCGATTGGTGCAAACGGTGGGCCCAACGTGGGTCCCGACGCTGTTGGGTCGCCTTCGCGTGGGGTCCGCGCACACCCACTTGAGCTATCACATTATTATTATTATTATTATTATTATTATTATTAGAATATTATATTATTTTTAGAATACTGTTGGTAGATAAAATTTATCCTTAATAATGTTTGTTATATGCCATAAGACCAAAGTTTTCGTTTATATTTATTATTATTATTATTATTATTATTATTATAATATTTGTATTATTTTTAGAATACTGTTGGTATATAAAATTTATCCTTAATAATGTTATATGCCATAAGACCAAAGTTTCCGTTTATATTTATTATTAATGTGGGCCCGGCTGTATAATGTGACCAAGAGATGTCCCACATGGAACCGTCTCATAATGTTGATGATGAGGGCCATTAAATACACGTATTAGTAAGTCAAGCCTTTCTACATAACATCATGTTCACATAATCAAAGGTCATAAGTCATATAATTTCATTTCATTATTTAAATTAAAATTCCTTCACAAGTCTTTATATATATATATATATATATATATATATATATAATCATTATCAAATTTCATGGGATGATTTTTTTTCTTATGAAAAATAAATATAAAAAATTGAAGGAATTTTAATTTAAAATAATTAAAATTATACATGTATTGTTGAACGCAACAGAGTGAGTTCGATGGAACGAATAGACGACACATTGTTTCGACAAAGGATTTTGTGATTCGAGTTATTATATCAAACACTTGTAGGAAAGAAAAGAATGTCCATCTTTTTTGCTTGCAGAACCACCACCGGAGTCCTTCCACTTCTTCCCTCAACCCTTCATCGTCCCCATCTCACTTCTTAGTAACAGTCACAGCAGAACAGTAGGAAAAAGATCCGACCCTCTCTCTCTCTCTCTCTTTTGCAGAGTCTGTTCTCATTGACTCCTTTGCGAGAGGCTTCGCCAAAACCCAGTGCCGTAGAACTTCGCCACCATCTCCTTCTCTAGTTCCGCGAACTCCGGCGACAGAGATTTCGCCAGCCATCGCTCCTCGGAGCCGGAGCTAGCTAGGGGGAACCCGCCAAGGTAAAGACTGAGGTCGTCGTCATCGTCGTCAAAGGCGTCGACCTCCGGCCTCCAAATGCTGGATTTGGTCTTCGCGCCCCTGGGCCAGCGTTTCCGCCACCGCCGCACGAGCCCCGCCGGCACCACGACGATGAGGTTCGCGAGGCCACAGGGGCAGCAGCAGATTGCCGCGCACCCAGCCGCGGTGGAACCGGCCACCTCTGCCAGCCGGGGCCCTGGCTTTTGCGGCTCCTTGATGATCAGCGTCCGCCGGCGGGTCTCGGGAAAGGTAGCGGCAGGGAGGGCGGGCGTCGCTTGCGAAGGACGGAGGGGAGGTCCGACCGACTTCTGCGCCATCTTCCCCCTCCCTCCGATCGTCGTAATCAGACGGTTCGAACGCCGGAAACAAGCGATCTCATACAATAAACGTCTCACCTGGCGAAGCTGCGTTCTGATGGCAGGGTGGCACCATGCTCAGGGATTCCGATTCCGGCGACCTCGCTTTCCTCCGCCGGCAATTTCGGGAAATGGAGGACTAGAAGGAAGGCAAATCGAAACGTGAAGCGACGTGAAGCGAACGCAAGAAAGTTCGGCGAGCGCGACAGGGGAGACCGGAGAGGAACCGCCATTTTATAGTCGACTCGGTTCGAGAGCACACCCTTGGCCACGTCACCCCGTGTGGAGAAAGAGAAAGGCGGGCCCCACAGAGCGGGAAGCAGTGTGTTTCGCGTGTACGAATATGCGATCAGAAAAGATCGTTGACCGAGATGTCCAAATGCCGAGTCGGATTCGCCTCGTCACACGTCAGATCGACGCGACCGGTCGGTCGGCAGTCTTTGCCCCGCGGCGTTCACGCGACACGTGCGGGAAAAAAAAGGAGGAAGAAGATAAGGTTGACTTGGAACTCATGCCGCTGCTCTCTGTGTTCAAAACCGACTGCCGTGCATGTGTTTGTGTTTATGTCTGTTCCTTGCTAAGACAAGAAATGCGCACAGGGTTGAAACTCCTGACCTGGAAACCAGAAAAATCCATGGCATCGTTCGATTTGGTATGTGAAGATTATAGCGAAGCGCAGAACCAAAAAATTACATTAATTAAGGCCAAATGTGGAGAGAAGGAAGAAGGTGGAGTTCCTCTTCCTGGAGCTCAAGTCTGCACTGCTGCCGCCGGCTTCGTCGTCAAGCCAAAACCAAAGGGGAACAGTGGGTCGTAGTTCTTATCACCGACGTTCATGGGGAGCTGCTCCACCGACTTGAACCAGGTGCGAGGAAGCTTTCCCGCGAACCCGAAGTCCCCGAAGAGGACGTCGGCCACGCCTTGACCTTCGGAGCCCGGCAGCCATGCAGCCACCAACGCGTCCATCACCGGGAGGTACGGCTGGATGACGACGGGCCGGCCGGAGATGAGTACCACCACGCACCGCACGGCGCCGCAGACCGTCTGGATCGTGCTCGGGCCTGGTTCGGGAATGGTGAGGTTGAGGCTGTCGCCCGCGGTCTCGGCGTAGGGTGGCTCCCCGACGACGACAATGGCGTAGGAGAAGTGATTGCTCTGCACGAGATCAGCATCGGGCTTCTCGGAGAACACGACATTGGTTGCCGGGTCAACCGTGGATCTAATGGCGTCCAGGATTGTGGTACCTGCAAAGAAGAACATGAGCTTGGATCACTAGGCAGTAGCTGATACAGCAACCATGAAATGCGAGAGAGAGATAGAGAGAGAGAGAGAGAGAAGCAAGGGGAAGAATCGGGACAAACCACCGGTGATGTTGCCACTGCCTCCTTGCCACTCTATAGTCCAACCGCCACACTGGTAACCGATGTTATCAGCATGACTTCCGGCGACGAGGATCTTATCAGCCTTCTTAGGCAAAGGCAGCAATGGCTCGTTGCTCGATTTCCCATTTTTCAGCAGCACCAGTGATTTCCTGACGGCTTCTCTTGCCAATTCCCTATGCTCCTGCGGGCATCCAAGGAGTTGTGTCAGGAGAAACTGCTGCATTGTATCTTCTAAATCATCTCTGACCGCAAGCGAAGGAAACAACAGCAGACATTACCTGTTTCCCGATTTGATCGGCCAAGCTGGGATCAGGCAGAGGGTTCTCGAAGAGGCCTAAGACAAATTTCACCCTCAAGATCCTTCTTACGGCATCGTTGATTCGTTTCATCGGGATAACCTTTTGATTCACGAGATTTGTCAGAGTACCAATGAACGCAGGATAGTCATATGGAACCATCACCTGTAAAGAGCGCACAGCATCAACGAGAACGTCAGCCTTTGCCGCAGCATCAACAAGAACATTAATGCTACTCTTCAGGATCAAGCTCACCATATCAAGGCCTGCAGTAATGGAAGCTTGAACAGAGTAGGTGTAATTTGCACCAGGCGGAGTGGTGATCCGGTCGATGCCCTGCCAGTCTGAGATCACAAACCCCTGATGGTATGTTCCGGACACGGTGAGTAAAAGGGGAACAGATACGGTGTGACAGAGAAAACCACGTACATCCCTACCTTGAAACCAAGCTTCTTCTTGAGGTGGCCGGTGACCAGGCGACGGTTGGCATGCATTTTAACTCCATTCCAGCTTGAATAGGAGACCATGACGGTGGACACACCCTTGGCGATGGAGTCGATGTAAGCAGGCATATGAATGCCGAAGAGTTCGTGGGCATCGATGATAGTGTTGTTCTCATCGATTCCTTTCTGCGTCCCACCATCGCCAACAAAGTGCTTGGAGCAAGCTGCCACGTTGTTCCTGACACAAAAGAAGATAGAGAAACCACGAGAAGGAATTATCTTCCGCCGCAGACGATCAAAATGCCGCATGATACGTCCGATCCAGTGAGCAGAAGGTGGACAAGAAGAATCCTTACTTTCCTGCAACAAAGGGAAAGTCCTTCGCGTAGTTCGGAGGGACATCTCCCTGTAAACCAGGAATGAGTTCTGTCATCGCCTGCACAACCCCGTGGTCCTCGCTGTAGCTCTCGTAGCACCTGCCCCATCTTGGATCCCTACAAACCTGATGAGCAAGAACAAGCAAGATACAGTAAAACAGCAGAGGAAGCGTGTTTCTACTGTTCCGATTCGATCGTAGTCCAGAATCGCTTACCGCAATGCAAGGCGCAAAAGCATAAGGAATGCCAGTCGCTCTAACTTCGAGTGCGGTTGCCGCACCAATCCTCTTCACAAGTCCAGGATCCCTGCGTTTCATGATTTCCGAGCATAATGTCAAGCTCAAGAATCCAAGAGAGCTTAGTTTCTCATCAACCCAGAGAGCAGCTATCAACGTGCTTGCCTTGTGGCTCCGAGGCCAATGTTGTGAGGAAATATGGTTGCGTTGTAGACATTGTTGTGGCCGTGAACGGCATCGATCCCATAAATCATGGGAATTCCCAAGCGTGTTGACAGGCAGGCCTTCTGAAACGTAGTGATCATCTCCACCCAATCCTTGGCAGAGGCCTGAGGAGCAGGAACGCTTCCCCCTCCACTGAGTATGCTGCCTGTACGACGTCTCCTCTCGTTATATGTCACAATTACATTTGTAAGACTGAATGTACGATGAACGCATCTGTTAGCACTCTCTCTCACCTATAAAGTAGTCTTTCAAGACTCGAGAGGAGGCGTTTGCTCGCTCGATTTGTGTCATCTGACCGATCTTCTCAGCGAGAGTCATGCGCTTCATCAGATCTTTTATTCGAACATTCACCGACTGTTTAGGATCTTTGTACTTCATATATTCTGCTTGAGTAGTCGCTGCCCAACACAATAGGAACACGAGCCCCAGCATTGGCATCCGGCGAGCTGCCATCTTGACGCGAATCCTTTCGGCGAGAACCTGATCTCACGATTCATGAAATGAGAAGAAAGACAGCAAAAGATGAAAGAACATGCCAAAGGGTTTGAGCCAAAAACCGAGAGTTGTGATACGATCAAGCAAGTCAAAAACCGAGAGTTGCAGAGGAAAGCTGAAGAACGAGAGCGGCAACACTTTTGCGTAAGAGAAAATAGCAGGCAACGATGGTAGGACGCCAAACACCACCAAACCAGGAGAGCAAGGAATGCGACGAACGATCATGACAAAACCGAAAAAAAGCTGATGCCTTTCTCGAGTACTTTCTCCGTTGGTTGAGAAAGCATAAATTCCGAATTCTTTGCTTGACATTGTGACAATGGTAACACAAGCAAAATCATAAAAGGGGCTATTGATTGATCCGAGAAGAAACATTTGGGGAGAAAGTGGACACTACCATCTTGTGGTTCTTAACATAAATAATAAGCTTAACTCGAGAAATCCATGCTATCTTATTCGAAATTTGTTCCTCGTAAGATCTGAAGGGGGGTGGGGGGGGGGAGAAGAAAAATCATTGGCCAAACCATCAAAACACATTTCTTTCCTAAACAAAAGAGACAACTTTAACGACAATAAAGCAATCCGGAGACCCAAAATATTTCCAGAAAACCTGAAATTTCACATCGAGAAAAGGGTGACAACAGTACTCACAGGAGAAATCAGGAGGAGGACAGAAGACCCTGCAAAACCAATTCTGAATGGGAGAAGCGAGATTACAGCGTTGAAATGGTTAACAAACGTTCATCTTTAAAGACGATGATGCAGAGGATCGTGTTGGTTTAGCGCCTCTAGATTGGGAGATTGGTTTAGCGCGTCTATCGGTCGAGAAAACAAGCCCCGAATTATAGGGACTCTCTTATAGTAAAATACCATATTGTAATAGAAAAAAATTATTAGGTTATACTAAGAGAAAATATCTTTAATACTTTATATCAAATTCAAAAATAAAATTTATTATTTATATGGATTCGGCCATATATATTAAATTATGCCCTCCACTCTCCCCGCCGGGGGTAATGGGAAACCAGTGCTCCTCCCGAGAGGAATGGAGGCTACCGGTTAAGACAAAGGACCTTCTCGATCCCTTCTTAAGCATCTCCTCCTGCTCTCTTCTTCCGCCACTCCTCGATGTGGGACAAAAGATACATCTTATTACACTAAGAGCGGAGGAAGAGTGGAAGCAAAACAAGGAACCTTCTCTTTCCTCTCCCCTGAGAAGACCCGAGTCGAACAAGGATGAAAAGGTATAACCTCCCAAGGAACCACGAAGAAGGTATAATAACCTTGCAAGGCACACCACCAACGTGAGCACACCTAAAGGAGGAGTTCTTCTTCTTCGTCTATTTATGCCTCCACGCATGAGCCTCTTGGCACAGCATCCATCTTCGTTCTCCCAAACGCATCCCACAGAGAAGAGAGGCTAGGCTCATGGAGAGAAGGCCTTCGGCTGCTAGAGGGCAACGCGCCTACGACAATTTTGTTCCTTCGCATGAAGTGGTTCGAGAAAAGGATGCAGAGATTTTTCTTATCCAGCTTCCAGGCTCGCACTCTCTCTCTCTCCCTCTCCTCTGATACTTAAAAGAGAGTTCTAATGGTGTTTCTTTACGCATGTAGGGTTCAAGAAGGAGCACATCAAGATTCAGATCAATGACTATGGCCAATTAAAGATCAGCGGGGAACGCCCTGTGGCTGACAACCGGTGGAGTCGCTTTCTGAAGGAGTTAAAGGTACCAGATTACTGCAATGTCAGCGAGATCAAAGCTAAGTTTGAGGACGGGCTGCTTTACATTATAAAGCCGATACTCGCCACCAAACCTGGCGCAGACGGAATGGCCCCGGAGACTACTACATTGGATGGAAAAGCCACGAGGGAGAAGAAAGCCGATGACGACAGTAAGAATGGCGTAAGCCAGAAGACGAAGACGAAGCCGAAACGACAAGAGTCTGATGGCGGCGTCAACAAGCAGTCAAACGAGAAGAAGGAATCGCTTGATGATGCAGGCAAAGATGTGCAGAAGGTCAGCGAGAAAGAGAGGGGTGGTCGAATCGAAGGGCCGAAATATAGTGGAAAGGTCGCAGCTAAACATGAAGGAGGAAGAAATGGCGCACGAATGACTGAAAGCAGGAAGGAGGAGGCAGTGACGCCCGAACTAACTCCAGCTGAGCGTGGAAACATGAGGAGGAATCTGACGATTGTACGAGGATTTTACACGCGCAAACAGCTCATGTTGAATGCAGCATTAGCAGCAGCCATTGTGATCTTGGCGGGCGTAGTGTTGTTTTATGTAACTCGTTAAAACAAAGGAAGTCAATGCAGGTTGATAGCCGTGAGGCTCTGTAGCTGCTCCAATCTCAAGATGTAGCATTCATGACAGGGTGGGTGCAAATGAAAGAAAGTGTAGTAGAGGGTGGGTGAGTGATTGTTTACGTGAAATGGCCCCTATGCATTCACTCTCTTGGAAAACATTTCTTCCAAAGAGACATTTGGTGAAATAAAATGGCCCCTACGGGGAATGGCTTCCAGAGAACGACGACAGTGGATCAATGGCATGATGAATTTTGTAACCTTCTTGAACCCACCTTGCAAAACCAGTTCTCGAGATAAAATAGAAATTTTTGACGTGACCACAAGAATCAGTCCCCAGAATCATTCCGAGACATGAAATAAACTACAGACATTTTTCTAGTTTTGTTCATCGTTTCATCTTTATCCAAGTCCACACATGGAGAATGAGGTTTAAGTATAGGTACAAATGAATGAAACTTAGGAATCCAATGTGTTACGCGACACAAATATGCAACATTCACCAATACCAACCCAAATGGTTATCAGCAGCAATAGATTTCAGACAAGGCACAAAGCTCAGTCAACAAGTCCATATAAATTCACTTCCAAGATGATGATGATGATGATGATGATCAGGATCCGTCAGCGTGTATTAAGCCCTCAACTGAGCAGCTTGATATCTATCACCTGCTTCGTATACAGACTTACTATGCTTCGAATAGTAGTAGGTAGGCATTGATATCTTCTGCAGCTTCTTCATCATCATCTGATTGCTCCAAGTAGATTAGCCCCTCCTAGCTTCGCTCCATCCAGTTTCTGTTTCACAGATCAAAACATGATCTATAGGTTATGTTCAACTCTATTATGTAGTTTCTAGCCTACAAGGAGACATCCATAAATCACTTCAAATTAGCGCACTTCTCTCTCTCCCTCCAGATTGCACATCCAAGATTTGTTATGCACACAAGAACTTGTGCATTTTTATCACAATGAAAATTTAAAATTACTTGCTTTGTTTTAGGGTTCACAATTTCAACGTTTTAGGGTTTAAGGTTTAGAGTTTTTGGTTAAAGTGTTAGGGTATGATTACGGTTAGGGTTAGGGTTTAGGGTTTAGTGTTTAACACTAACATTCTACATATAATCCACAATCGTTGTCAGAAAATAACAAAACAAGCAACAAACTGACATATGCATGTATATTTGCTCAACTTCCAAGCCATATTTCTTTCTCCATCCAACCAGTGCAATAAATCCAAGGGTGGGAGTTGGATGCTAGCGGATAAGTTTAAGACCCTGAAAGTACAACAATTATCCATTGATGACTGAATTGAAAGAAAAATAACTTACAGAGTCACGTAAATCAACTTCTCGAAGGTAAGCCCTTTGAAGATTTGCACCCTGCAAATTTGCACTATTCAACTTGGCACCCTGAAACATAAACAAAGAATCAATATTCTGTGTGATTAGAATACGTACATCTTACCCCCAACAGATGTAATTACAATTCACTAAGCTTTTTAAACAAGTGATTCGTTAAAAAAAATGATTCATTTCTTGTTACTGTGGATTTAATATTTCCCATTAAAGTGCAAAAACCATGGTCGAAAGAAGGTTGCACAATTTGATGCTACAGAAGGCTTTTTATGGTAATATATTGTGAAAATATGATAAATCAGCCACAGACAAAAATTATTACCCATTCCTATAGCAGTTACAAAAAATCTTGGTTGGCCTTGGTTGTCTGAACTGGAAATAAATGCCAGTTACACAAAAGGAACCAGAAGATTGTTCAACAGGGCATTTATCTTTGGCAAATGGCAAATAACTAACCAACAATAATAATCAAAACCCAATATAACCCAAACTATACAAGAATAAACATATATTTACTGGTCATTTTTTCAATTAAAGCAAAATAACAGTGCTGAGGTTCAGTGGTTCTTTTATAGTAATATAATTCAATTCCAATCGAAGTCCTAGAGTGGTTGGAGCTTTCGATCCTAACTTCCAACTTTCATCGGAAGGACCTCTTAACTACATGTCTCCAATTAGAGCCTCTTGGAGCAACCCTATAGTAGTGCTTGATAAGGTTCGTCGTACTGAGACGTACCGCTTGGTACAGGCAGTACATAAGTACACCTCATTGGACTATGTGTCAGTATATTCGGTATGACTCGGTATGTATCATACTAACAACTGGTCGGTACATCGATACGTACCGGTAATACGAACCATGGTGCTTGATGTGTAACTTGGTAATATGCTAAAAAAGGATCTTTAAAGTCAACTCTGTTAAAATTTAGCAAAGCTCATTAATTGTGTTTGTATCTACATAACCAGACAGAGAAAGTATCAACCCAGGTTCCATGTATTTTCATCTAGCTGTTCCACACTAAAAACAAAATGAACTCTGTACAGCCATCAACTAAAATCATAGTACTAGTCACATATGGATATCAAGAATTAAGAACCATCATAACTTGCATATATCATTAAACCACAAACTTCCATAATTCCATAGAATTGGCAACACAAACTTTTTACCTTTAGATTGGCACCTTCCAAATTAGCTCCTTTAAGGTTGGCACCAGTCAGCTTCGCACTCTGAGAATATCAATAATTTGCACATGCAAGTTGATATATTATTACACATGGGGGTTAACATTGATTAAAGAAATAGCAAATAATTTACAAGCATGACTATAGATGATGAAGGGTTAATTAATAATTTACAAGCATGACTATAGTTTGAATCCCACAGACACATTTCCATGCGAATCACTTCTCAGATTTTCCCCTAACTTCCTGCTTTCCATCAACTCTCACCTCATGCTGTACCACCAGACTGCTAATGTAGAACATGCCATCGAACATGCGTCCACAATGAACACTAAACTTCTTCACATGTTGTGTCCATCCAGACTCTGATTGCAATTCACTCCAAGACAGTCTAAAACATATGGAACTGCCAAAGATTATTACTCTTGCTTTCTCATCATAGTTATAATAGCTAGTTCAAAGAGTAGCCCCCACTAATTGTCAGCAAAGTTTTTGTTCCATGTTTAACTCACTAGCAGAGGTGAAAGTTTATAGTGTTATGATCTCATATTCTTAAGCTTACAGAGATAGCAAAAAGTTCATGTTTAAAATTGATTTATGTAGTCATATTCTTCAAAACAGAGTGGTATAAATGATTATTCAAGCACAAGTTAAACTGAAAAACTGTAGTCATACTAAAAAATAATACATCTTGTAAGTTGAACATTTATTCCAAAATAAAAATAATTAATAAAAAAGCAGGAGAGAAACACAAGAGTCATCCTCTTTATCAGAGGTTAGAATCATAGAAAATTCAGTTGGAAAGCTTTGTTTCAACAAAAATGAATCATGTGAGTTAGTGGCATGCTTGGCCCAGCACAATCATGTAAGTTGAACATTTTGACAGAATATTTCATTTCTGTTTTTTCTCATCGAATCCTAAAAAAGAAATAGATTTCACTGATCCAAATAAATTCTATGATAATCTTTATACATTTTTTACAAATATGGCTGAAAATTTATTGCAGATGTTAAGCTGATATCTGATAGCATAATCAAGAATTATATTGTGGTAATATTGTCTATTTTTTGAAAGTAATATGGTTGTCTCCTCAAAGAAGCCAAGTGTCATGGTTCGATGGGATAACTCAGCCATTAATTTGATAGACCTAGAACCATCTGGCCTAAAATACTTGCACATAAACTAATGGTAATACATCCATTCTGATCCTATAAACAAACTTAATTGTCCTTCCACATCGGATGTGGGATAAACTGAGGTGTCACACAAAGAGACATGATAGCAAGGTGGGGTTTGGAATCAATAATGAGGTTAAGAACAATTAAAAAATTACAACCAAGTTATATGCCAAGGAAGATTTGCAAAACAATTATCACTTGAGGTCACTTGAAAAATGTACTCTCCACAAAAATGACCAAGAACTTGAAGGTAGAAGTCAAAGGCAGGTCCTATCCTTTCAAAATCAGAGTGAAAAAGGTCATAATGAATTAACAGCGTGTGGTCAGTTTCTTCACCAGAAAAACCTAAAACAACATTGCTGATATATACATAATGTTTTCAACCCTAGGCTTCTTTTGCTTGAATCAATAAGTCCAGAAGTCAGAGATTAAAAGATACATTGATTAAGATACTTCAACCAGTATTGAAAAGATGGGCTGTTCAGTGACTAAATTCGATCATTGATCAAGAAGTTGTCCCTGACTCGATGACCTTGCTAGATATCAAATAGGCATGGCCACACACAAAATGAGCAATATGAGATGAAGTAAACAAAATGAGTCCATATACAAAGGATTTAAAAATATTGGGTGTACCATCCAGTACGGTCTGGTATTTACCCATTTGATAGGGGACAGACGAGCCGACCAGGTGAGTTCATCCAGTTCGATTCGAAATGAGGGTACCAAATGGTACACTGTATTTCATGTGTACCAGAGACATACTAACCAGTTTGTTAATCTTTTAAGTTTTTAATTTTTAAAATAGTTTTGCTATAAACAGCTGTGAACTACTATTGGCAGCAATCAACAACTGTTAACAGCCTGCTTTTACAGAGCTTGCCTCCTCTTGAAAATGTTTATATTTGTAAACACCACAGCTGTTTACAAAATGCTTTTATTGAGATCTTTGGCACACATACCTCTCCGCCGGATAGCCTTTCCAGTGCCTTCGTTATGAAACGTGAACATTCTGGTTTTCCAAACTGTGGATCGTTACATCCATATTAAGACTGATTGGTCCTTGTAGAGCTATCCTCTTCTTCTGTCGTAGCTGCAACCTTCACTGCTGCCACTGCCTCCGCCACCATCTTCACCACACCCTCCTCCTCCTCCCCACCTTTTCTCTCCCTCTCTCTGTGGCCTGGATGTAATTGATCCAAACTGAGTTGAACCAATCCGACCACAAACCAGTATCAAACCCAGACTGAATTTTTAAACCATGCCAAGTCCAATGACAGCCTAAAATTTATCAGTACTATGACTTGGGTTTTTTATGGTGGACTCATACCTACATTTATCAAGATGATCTCGGAATGATAGATAGCATTCAGATATCATTTACAAATTGATTATCCATATTGCCCTTCAAGGAGGAAAAATTATGAAACTCTATGCACTATTAAGATTGTCATATCGTTAGTGGATGTGGATGACATCTTTTTTCAAAAAAATTCTTGATTTAGCAGAAATTAATCTCATTATTTGTTTGTTAGGGATGTCCTTAGTCTCTGAAAACATTAATTATAACATAAACTAATATATTCCAGTCTTTGAGTTACCTACCACCAAAAATAACACAAGATATACTAATTTATTAAAATCCAGAAAATAGCATGGGCTCATAACAATATGTTGGTTAAGGTACAGAGATGAAACAACCTGTAAATGAGCCGAACGGAGGTCAGCTTCATAGAGACTACATCCAGTTAAGCATGCATCTGTATAATCATAAAATTCCAAACATAAATATTGCAGTTAATAAGATTTTGTCTCTTTTTCCCTTTCTGCCTCTAAATGTCATTTTTTTCTGCAATGGTACATGCTCCAATTAAAAAAAAATTTAAACCTATGACTCATTCAATCTAGGAGTTAAATTACAACATGCACAGTTCAGCATAACAAAAAAAAGAGGGTTAATTACATATTAAATCATGTAGTTAATCACCTTTAATATCTTGATCCCTATACTTTAAAAAGTTACATTGGCATCCTTATAATTACGAAAGTGAAACATATAGGTCAATTTATCCTAACAACATTAGTTTTATTAGTGAAAATACGAAAATAAATAGTAAAAAGGTAAATTTAACATTCCAATGGTGGCAGAAGATGGTGCCGTTGGCGTAGCCGTCGCCCTCCGCCTCCTCTTCCCCACTACCGCCCAACACGTCGCCTCCCCCACGCGCTCACCTCTCCCGCTGTCGTCGTCGGTCAGAGCCCTCACGACCAATGACAACAACGGGTGGGGTGAGCACGAGAGGAAGAGGAGGCGGCGACCAGAGCCCTCACGACCACCTCCACCCTATCCACATCCCTAAGGGGTGAGCGCGAGGGGAAGAGGAGGTGGACGGGGTAGAAGAGGCCATGAGGGCTTTGGCCGCAACCTTCTCTCCCCCTCGCACTCACCCCTCTTGCCATCACCACTATCGTCGTCAACCACGAGAGCTCTGGTCGACAGCGACAACGAGAGGGGTGAGCGCGAGGGGAAGAGGAGGTGAACATGGCGGAGGCGACCATGAGGGCTTTGGTCGCCGCCTCCTCTCCCCCTCAAGCTCACCCCTCCCGTCGTTGCCGCGGTCGCCGTCAACCGTGAGGGCTCTGGCCGATGGCGCCAGCAAGAGTGGTGAACGCGAGCGGGAGAGGCGACGTGCTGGGCAGCAGCGAGGGAGAGGAGGCGAAGGGTGGCGATTATATTGGCATCGACGTCAGCGGCACCATCGTCCGCCACCACTGACGTCGTCCCCCATCACCGAAATGTTAAATTTATCTTTTAATCCTTTATTTTTGTATTTTCATTAATAAAACAAAAGTCGTTAGAATAAATGGGCTTACATGTTTCACTTTCATAGCTATAGGGATATCAATATAACTTTTTAAACAATAGGAATCAGGATGCTAAAGGTGACTAACTACAGGGGGTAATCTATAATTAGCCTAGAAAAGGACCTTTGATAGTTACTATCAAAAGTCTTCTAGAATAGTCTAAATGCTTCTATTACTTGCTCTTAATGATAAAATTTTCCTTCTCTAAGATAATTCAAAAACTAAGAATGAAGTGTTTAGCAACCATAAGATGATTACAAAAACTTCACAAAGTAATAGTGTTGTCGAAAGCATAAGCCCGCAGACCTATGAAGTTAAAGAAAATAAAGGCTGTGTGAAACAATAACAAGCAAAACAAAAGTAATGACCATTTTGACAAAGAGAAATTCCATGTATAACATAATTAAAAGAAAGAAAGCAGTAGCTACCTTGCAGATTTGCACTTTGAAGATTAGCTCTATCTAATAAAGCTCCATGAAGATTTGCCCCAATAAGCTCACACCTGTGGTGGGTAAGACAAGTAAGAGCAGGAGATGTTTAGCTACTATATAAGCCCCTGCGTTCTCCTAGTAATAATTAGATTTCACTAAGACGATAGAAGTCCTAACACAACTTAAAACCCCAAGCACTCACATTAACCTCCACACAAGCATCAAAAAAATGACAGGTGTACATTACTACCTCTAATGTTACTCTATAAACACAAGTGAAGAAAAAATATGACATGTTCCTTCAATAAACAAACAAGAATAGTTTTCAGGAGATGTCAAGCAATGATGAACTTTATCTGCAAAATGGTTAACAAAATATTATGGCATATATAATCAAGATACTGACACACCAAGAGAATTGTTCAGGTGTCATTGTTTTATCTTTCATGCTTGGTAGATTTGTAGATTTGAAGAAGCATTGGCCTCAAATGTAGTAAACCAAGCAACAAAATTTACACATCAAATGTAGAATTTTTTTTGGAAAAAATAAACCAGAGATTTAAAACAAACAAAAATATTGAATTTTGTTAACAAATCTTACTCACGCAAAATTGCATCTTGAAAGATTGAATCTTCCGCTTCTGCATCCTGTCACAGAAAAAATGATCCGTAAATCTAGTAGCATGTGATACAGGAAAGCAGACGACAGTATTTGGTTAGGAACAAACTAAAATTCACGAGCATGCAAATGGATCAACTAGAAATATCAGGAATTATATGTCCTCCAATATGCAAAGACCAAGAGACAAGTAAATCTTGTGGTTTGTACAACTATTAGACAAGAAAATGTAATTAAATGATAGATGATAAACCTACATAAAAAGCTAAAAGATAAAGCATTGTTCAAGTCCTACCCCAAACTTAGCTTTTTGGAGATTAGCTCTTGAAAAATTGGTTTTCCGGATACAGGAATAACTGAAATCAACAAATGATAGATCCTGCAATGTAAAAAAGGGACAGATTACAATTCACTTACATGATAATTATTCATAAAAAAATAACCAACTCAATTAAAACATGGCCAAAGAAACCATTCTTGGTTTCCCAATTAGCTCATTGTTAATGATCCATGAGAACTACAAAGATGATTGAATTATAAACATTGAAAAAACAAATCAGACAGCTAGCTGAAAAAGGATTCCTTTAATATACTGATCTATAATGTCAAGTATGCAGCTAAAGATATCAAGAAAGTACAAGGTTTTTTCTATATGTTTTTTTTTTTTTTTTTGAGAAAAAGAAACTCGATAGCCTTGGTTTGATCAGGAAAATATTGATTAATTCAGATTTATGGGCAGGAAGATAAGAACACCTTCATGTAACTAAAAGTAGCATTTTTGCTGAAGGCTTAACATCTTTAACCAATGTTCCGACTTTCAGCTTGTGTTTATCAGTGCATCTAAAGCATAAAATTGAATAGCCAGGCTTTATCAGGGCATCTAAAAGATATAATCAACCTCAATTTCATATCTTAAATCCAAAAATGTGCAAACATCAAAAGAACTTCTTTATCAGATGGCTATGAATTGGATAAATGCATAACAATTCCAAATCATATACATATACAAGATCCAAAATGTGGCAACAAACAACAATGAGCACACAGGTCCAATATTGATATCTTACAAGTTTAGAAAGATCAAGGCCAGAAAGATTCACGCCTCGAAACCTAACTCTGTCAGATTGAATGCATTTGATGATCTCCGTTCGTGATAATTCAGCCACTGAGCCATCATTGTCTTTTCTTTTGTTCAAACTTGTGTTTATGTTGTCAACCAATCCCTGCAAATATTCATGACGACAAATATTATTATACTAGAACATAACAAAGGATTTGGAAATGTTAGGATCATAAAGAAGACAGGGGACAATGGCTATGAGGAACAGTACATGTTTGCAAATGGAATTTTATCTGTGAAGATTCTGGATATTACATGATGTTAAAACTCAATCGGCCAAAGTTGTAGTGGATTAGTTATAGTACAAACTACAAACTACAAACTACAAACTATAACGCAAATATTTCTGGTCTCACAACTAAAAGCATCAAAGTATTTTAACAATGAGCACAAAACAGTAACTTCAACTTAGACATCGTGCAATTATCTTCATTTTATGTGCTCACATGGACTTGCAGCGATTCAGATTTCTAAAAAATTCATATGAGAATCTGTCTCTTTCTAAGTCCAGATTCTAAGCCATGTTTCATAGAGTCACATCAAATTTCTTTAAGTACAGTAAGAGGTAGGACTATCTGCATTATGGCTTCTATGCTTAAAGAGATTTCCATTTTCTGACATACCAAAAGGACACCACCAATAACTACCAGTCATACAGAAGTGACTTGCAAAAGTTGATGAAAGGGCCTCTCTGGGCTTATAAATTCAATTGAGAGTTAATCTCTGAGATATATGAGGTTGCAAATCTGTCAGACCAATCTTGAAGGTTGGTCCGTTTAACATTAATGACACTTTCAGTTACAGTAGTTTCTCCTTGTAGTAAAAACCATGACACTAGAAGGTTATTCCAATGAAACGAGCACTGCACCTAAAAGAAGTAAAAAAAAGTCTTAAATGACATTTCAGCATTACTTGAAAGCAGAATAGACAAAGAATCCCACAAGAAAAGAAATTCAGTCTAGAGAGATTTCTGTTTGATCAGTTTTTCATAAGGGGCCCAACATTTCCATATTTTCAAATGCCACAAGCATTCAAGCAAATTACGCAATCTGATGCATTATTCATGATGTCAAGAATGATCAGACAACGTATTAATGGGCATACTGTCATCAGAAAAACCAACTAGCACCATGCAATCTTGATTATACTCATATACGGAATGGTATCAAATGCAGTTGATGCAACTGGTAAATTTTCTAAAATGTAAACCATTGTTTTTTTTCAGACCTAGAACGTTAAACTACTAAATAAGCATCAGAGGCAACCAATAAGGGCAACATGATTTACAAGTAACTGATAGTATTCTGCCTCTCGCAACAGTTCTTGATACTCAGAATCTTGGAGTGTTGGAATGATCCCATCCCTTAACCAATTGAGGATATGCCTGAAGTGTTTCCCATCTCTATCAATAAATATCATTCCCTACAAAAACACAATGCAGAACAAGAATAAAGGACCAATACAGATAAGCAACATTTTTTAATATTTGGTAATACCAATAATTATAAGAGAAATATATATCTTCTCAAAGGTATTATCTAAACATAACTTCTGATATTGCTGACATGATCTAAGCATTACAAGCCATTGAATACCTCCACCAGCATCAATGAAAGAAATATACATAACAGAAAAAACAAAGATATTTATGCTGTAGAATATTCACTTAGGCAAAGGACACCAAGAAGAAAGAACAACAACAAAGATGCTTATTTTAATACTTCGATTATCAAAGAGATAAAAAGGTTAAGAAAAAGGCATCCCACAAAAAGAAGTATAAAAAATTAATAAACTGGACAGAAAAGAGAGCACTAAAAATTGGAAGATTTCAATGTTCTTTAGTAAGAAAAAATGTGTTTGTTCATTAACCGGATAAGAAAAGAAGCATTTAAAACAAGTTCTTTTTCCAGTGGATAGCTCATAGCTTGCTTGCTATGATTTGTGGGTTTTTTGGGTTACTAAAACAAGCATTTAGTAAGAAATATTTCTGGGTTTTTTGGGTTATTTTACACGTTTCTTATAGGTACTTCTTTTGCTTATCTTCTGGTGAAATAGATTAATATCCACTTGTAGCAATCTTATTTCATCTTGCAATTCCACAATATCAGAGCTTTACAGATTACTGGTGTGACATAGAATGTTAGTAATACAAAGAACCAAACAAGCAACTAAATTATCTATGACTAACATATTAACAATACCGTTACATCATCTGTAGAAACAGTATGCCGCCCACTAAACATTGCTCCAAGCATGGACTCAGGCTCCCGTTGCGTAAGTGTATCAACTGTTGTTGCATATTTCTTCCCCCCTATAAACAATCCAAGAATGGTTTATGCTAAATATTCAATCACATATCAACTCAAATGTTAATAAACTTAATAAACAAAAAGAAGTGCAGTGATTCAATTGTTCCCTTTCTCCATTTTCCTTTGGGTTAAAAAGAACCGCAGAGAAACTATAATATATTCCTTACGTAGTAGAGCCCAGAATCACCTTCATGGCAGAGGATCAAAAACCCACTAGGAAAACCAGCATCAAAAGAAGATTAATAGGTTTGTTTCCCTCTCTACAGATGTGAGTAATGGGACTTATGAATGCGTGGTTACACCCAGAGTCATACTTTTGCGTTGTTGCAAAGAATCAGGAACTAGAACTATTGGCCTATTCGATAATCTGCATAGCCAAGATTCATCGAATCATACTCCGCCAATTTAAGCCCGTAATTTCAAGCCCCGCCTGTCTTTCCTCGAGCAATTCTTGACCTGATACAGAATCCCGCATGAAACTCATCCGTAAACCTAATCTTATCTTAACGCCTCCACAGAAATCAAAGAGCCACGATTCAAGAAACGCTCAGCAAGAAGATGTTAGGTTACTTCTTCAACAGCTGGTCAATCATTATCCAAAAAATCCGATAAAGTTAGGGAAAACCCCCAATCGGATCGAGGATTTCAGTAGCACGAGAAATGGATCGAAGAAATCGTTCCGAAATCGGAAGTGCAAGGAAAGAAATGGAGATCACTGACCTACATTGAGGAGGACCTGCGATGGAGGCCAGGGAACGCCGGACCCCATCATCGCCTGCCTCGAGCACCGCTCCGACACGAAAATAACCCACGGCGACCCAAGTCGCTATATAGTTTTCTCGCCCACGGTTTTCCAAGAAACCCTTGCTTGCTACTTTATAACAAGATTGCCCTTCACGGGGCCTTTATCTTTTCCCACCTGGTTGGTTTAACCCAATTGTATACCTTCTTGCGATCGGCCATTTGAGGGCCAGTGGACGGTTGAGATGACCCCGCCCGGGAAACACGGCCGGCGGTTCCATTCCCCGTATCAATTGCTCGATCGCCTCATAACCGCACACCCTGTTTTATATGGGCCCCACATTTTTAGTCCGAAAACACAGTCGGACAGGTAGACAAACATCCTGTTGGGGCCAAACAGCTGATTGGCGTCTGATTAGGTTACCGGAGTCTGTCGTGCGGGGGGGCGATTCGAATTCCGCAGCGAGCAACGCGTGTGACGACCTCTTGCGTGGCGACTTGAGATGACGCCACGTCATCGAACATGGAGCGCTTAATTGCCCCTTGCCCCGTTCCTGAAATCCAAAGTGACTTCGTGGTGCTTCGTTGAGGGACGGAGTGGAGATGAGGAAGCCCCTGTCAACCATCGCCAATGATCTGCTTAATAGATGTGCAGAGTAATTCTCTCTTCCTTTCACCCTGTGTTAGTGATTGAGTACGTGCTGCTTTGTCTCTGGTATGTTGGGTTGCATTAGGTTCAAAAATCACGACTTTTCCCAGGGATGTCTGCCCAGATTTGCTCTTTTCGAACTCTCCAATTTGGATGTTAATGTTAGTGAGAATGGCGTTAATGTTTCTATTACATTATAAAGAATGATGATGATGAAGCAGTTGATGTGATTTTTCTATACACAGTGGTGAGGACAGGAGGAAGAACACTTAAGAATTATCTTTTTGGTTCTTGTTCTTGTTCTGGAGTGAAATTTCATACAAAAATTATTACTTGGAAATGAATGAGGTTAAAGATTGAGATGAGTCAATGATTTCTTCCCATCTTCTTTTTATATTTAACTTTGCTCTGATAGATGAGTTAGTTTTCGGGTCCTGTGACTTGACCACAGTCGCATCTGTGCACCATCCGGTCTAACAGGACATTTCATGAGCAAATGCTGGCTTCTGCTCTGGTGTTATCATCAAAATGCCAACTTCTGAAAACATGGAACACCAAGGACAAAAAAATTTGAATCCTAAGCTATCTTTTGTGACAAACTTTGAATTTTATATCCATTGTACGACACCACCACCAAACCAAGTCATGATGATCGAGTATTTATGATCGACTATATGAATCTTTTTCTGTCATTTAGTCAAGAGAAACACAACTATTATTATACTCTATTATCTAAGAGCGAAATGCTTATCTTCGTTTTTATCATCGAATGCTTTCTTTTGAGTCATTTTGAAGCACAAATTTGTACAAGTAAAATAAAAAAATTTCTCCGGTCAGCCATAGATGAAGATCTGAAGGACACAAATTTAAATCTAAATCTGTCTAGAATAGCAAGTGCTATGCTCCTTGCTTGAAAGTCAAATGGTCATGGAGGGGGGAGAAATTACACAATGATCTCTTGGTTCCAATACTAAAGAAAGGTAGTAAACATTCTTCATGGAACATTTTGGTCCATGTGTCTGGGAAAGCATTGTCAATTAGTAACTTGTTCTTTGGTTGTAATGTTGTGTCTCTCTTTGGCTCAGTCTGTTCTTACAAAATGTGGCCATATTTCTAAAAGCAAGGATGTTGTCGTCTTTGGTTAATACAATGAGTTTGAACCTTTCAGGACATTGGACACTTCAGTTGATTCCCTGATTGAAGAGTTTGAGCAGGGATTGAAGCCTGCAGTAGATAACTACACTAGGAGGTTAGTAGAGTTCTGCTGCTCAAAGACAATCAAAAATATTTGTCCCAGGGTCGGGGAGAGGATCAGTGATGGGTCGATTAGCCGATTTACTTATGATATGATGCTAGCGTGGCAAAACCCCAGCACAACTGGTTCAGAACCTTCTTCGGTTTGGATCTCATTCCTCGCTAATTCCATTGTTCTGCATCCAGAGAGGTCCTTGTGTTTTACTAGTTTAGCAGGCTACACGATATCAGGATCTTTGTTTGTTAGTAACAATAGAAGAACCCTCATATGGCTCAATATCTTTCCATTTCCCTATTCTAGGAGAGACTTGCAAAGGAAAAGGAAGATAAAAGGATACCTCTTGAGGGAAATGTGGGGCAGATTGACGATGATATCCCCTTATTTTATTCAGATATCATGCCTCTCCTTGTAAGCAGCCTAACTAATGTTATGTATCGTCTGCCACTTTGTTAATGATCATGAACTTTCATGTATTTTTTAAGGTCTGGAGTGTCTTCAAAATTTTATATGTTATCCAACAGGTTAATGAAGAGCCGAGTGTTGGAGAAGATGCATTTGTATGGTTTGCATGCTTAATTCCTTTGGTTGCTGATGTTGTCAATGCACGGTTCACTTTTGAAACTCTTACAGCACCTACTGCCAGTCAGCTCCATTTTCCTGCTTACGATAGATTTCTCAAGGAAATAGACAAGTATGTAATTCATCTCATCTAGTCGATAATTGTTCTTATTTCTTACAAATAATACCTAGTTTCTGGACGTTCTTTTTGCTCGTTTCCAACTGGGTTTAGTTGCATCATGTGAAGCAACGCAATATGGATTCATCTGCTTTGTTGATTAGATTCATGAAGAAATACATCCACGGTCAAACAGAAATTAGCTAAAGGATTTGAGTAGACATGTTACATTTATTAATTAAAGCAAATGATATTAGCTTTGTGGCTCAGCTGATAGCAAGCTAGGTGTTGCAAGTCTGAAAGTTAGCTTCTTTAGATATTTTGCCGTTCTTCTTTTGAGCTAATTTCAGTAATAGCAGGGTTATGTTAGTTCTTATCATTATCATTCTGGGCCTAGTCAACAGCAGATGTTCACACAGTTGATGCAGATATAATCGGTACAGGTCGACATATGCATATATGATAGCCCAAAGAAAATAGCAGGGCCCTCTTAGCTTTCCTCTTGCTGCTGTTGCATAAAAACTAACTTTGAGCTAAGAGTTTTTGCTTTCATTTAAAGGTCTTCTGAGGTAGAATGGATATTTTGTTGCATTTAAAGTAATATTAATGTGATCTGGGACTTTTTGGGTGGTTTAAGGTAAAAAAGATATGAACTTGATCTAGACCAATCAGTTACCAAATTTAGGTGGAAAATACAGAATTATAGCTCTAGTCTAAGAACTCGCTAAGGAAAAATATTCCTGCAGGATGACCTGCATTTATATTAATATGATAGCCAATAATAGATCATGTGCCTTGGTGGCCTGTGCCTGCAATGTGTATTGTCCCTTTTGAGCTAAAACTACTGAGATATCAATATGCTCATCTTTTTGCCTCTAGATCTGGCATGTTCACAATTTAATGATTTATTTTTAATTCAATCAGAGTATGTTGAAACCTTCCAGATACTATAGCCATGTTGTTATATTACATATTAAGGTGTAAACTACATAGAACTATTAAAATGCTTAGTTTTTTCCTAATTGTTCAGGTGTATTGAGTACTTGCAGAAACAGGAAACACCAACTGGAGTTGATTTATCTGAGAATGAGTTCATTTTGCATGTAGAGGGCACTTCAAAAACACACAGAGTGGTGCGACACATAGGGGCAACGAGTTGGCCAGGTGATTTTTTGTAGCTTTCTATGTCGTTCTGATGTTTGCTGGCCTACCTGTATTATACAATTTTCACTGCCAAAAAAAAAAGAGCAGTCCTATTTATTCAGTTTCAAATACTATTTGATAGGTAGACTTACCCTTACCAATCAGGCCCTCTACTTTGAGGCATCTGGCATAGTGTCATATGAAACTGCCTTAAAAATTGATCTGTCAAGAGCTGATGTTGGTCATCAATTGAAAGAAACTTCAACAGGGCCATGGGGGGCTCCCTTGTTTGACAAAGCAATAGCATATGAGTCTTCTGAGTTGTAAGTGTTTTTTCTACGGTGATCTAGATTGTTTACATCATCAGACAGTAGAGCTTTATTATGTGCTCTCTGTCAGATTGAAATATTGGGTGAGAATTTTTTTCCATGACAATCTTGTGAAAAGAATACTTTTATGCTATAACTTTTCAGATCAGAGCCTTTGGTGCTAGAGTTTCCAGAGATGACTAGTTCCACTAGACGCGACCACTGGCTCACTCTGATAAAGGAAATCATCTTGCTTCACCAGTTTACATCAAAATTCAATATAGAACATCCGGTGCATGTATGGGAGATTCATGCAAGAACAATTCTCGGTGTCTTAAGGCTTCATGCGGCAAGAGAATTGCTGAGAATTTCACCACCTGCTCCTGCTAACTTCTTGATTTTCTCATTGTATGAGGACCTTCCCAAGGGGGACTATGTATTGGCAGAATTAGCAAATGCCGTGAAGCAGGCAACTGGCTTAAGCCCATGCACTGCAACATCCATACTGAAGGGTTTAAACATCTCCCATAGTGTTTCCTTGTCGAATAAGAAAGACGCCTCTGAAGAAGAAACAAGCAGTCAAGCAGATACTCTGAAATCTTTGGAGACAACTATTGATCAAGTGAGAGAAGAAGTCAAGGAGGTTAGTGTAGCAAAGGCTACTGTTGAAGAGATGAAAGAGGAAGGAATCAGTGACAGTCTTCTTATACTAGTTGTAAGCTGCTTCAAACACTGTGTGTGTGTGTGCATATTCTGAGGAACTTCATACATGACTAGATGACCTACTCTGATTTTCACAGTTGGAAGTTTCTTCTTGAACTCAAGAGGTCTTTACCTTTGTTGACCATTCTGCAGGAGTTGGCGAGTTCGATAAAGAATGTGGTGCCTTGGTTACAAGTGGTTGTATCACAGGAAAGACCAACAATCACACTCTTCATGATTGGATTGGTTTTGGTTGTCATATACAAGTAAAGATATGCTTCTCAGTGCCCTGAGTAACCTGCATTAGTTCTTATCTTCATGAAACTTGTTGTTGAGGTGCTGATGACATTTCACCCTATCCTACCGACACGGTAATCGTTTTTTCGTTCTGCCAACAGGGAGTGGGTTGGATTTGCAATTGCTGTGGTATTGATGTTGGTAGTCGGAACGATGTTATGGGCCAGAAGGAACAGAATCGGAGAAAGGCACAAAGAAATTGTTGTGAGCACATCCTCAGACAAAACAACCATGGAAAGCATTGTTGCGGCTCAGCATAGTCTGAAGAACTTGCATGAGATCGTCAAGACGACGAATATCGCCATACTGAGAATATGGTCGATACTAATTGGAAAGTCTCCAAAGGTACGCTTTCCAAACTATGATTCCATCATTATTTGCTTCCCACGCATTACGGCGATTGATGTGTCTAACAGCAAGCAAATGTGGTGATGTGGGCGATGATTGGAATTGCGGTTCTACTGATGGTAGTTCCATTCAAGTATATACTCATGTGGTTAGCGCTGTGCTTCTTTATAGCTAATTCGAAGATCGCAAAGTACATGTCCAGTGAACAGGGAAACAGGCGGCTGCGGGAATGGTGGGAGTCGATACCGATCATCCCAGTTCGAACCATAAGCAGCCCTCCATAAGAGAATGGTACGAGTGGCATTATATGATAGATGAAGTTGATGTATTGATGTACATTTCACCACCTTGCATCTTTCTTTGACATCAGGATTTTGCTTCATCGTAGTTTATTCCATCAAATCTTTAAAAGCCTGTCTCAAATACAGGAACAAACTGCTATCTGGCTGTGAGGTCGCTTTCTTTCCTGGAGATGGAAAGGCTCATCTTCTGCTTGGCTGTTTTCCATCTCAACAATTAGAACTTGTATCTTGTGATGATCTTTATGTAGGTTTTTGTGCCTGAGACTGCATGTAACTTTTTCATGGTGGTCTTCGACATCACTTAGCTACTCTTCAAGTGTAAATCGTAGTACTCTTTTCATTTCAATTATCGTCTTCTTGCTTTGTGGAAGGGAAGTGTAATGAGGTCGTAATCATGCCTCTTATTGAATCCAGATAGAGCAAAGAATGTCCTGCAACTTGTGACCTCAACATATACATGCGAACCACAAGAAGAGAGGCTATGGTGGAATGACTCACAGGGTTCTCCTTTTATATTAGGGTTGCTCACTTTGATCCTGGATCTTGTTATAGACAGACAGAGATCTAAATTTCTATGATCTCTCAACGAAGAAGAACAAGTATTTGTCATTTGATGAGCTTTTATCTTCATTGCACTGTGTGTGAGGAAATTTCTTTCCACTGCTATACCAACACCTCTAGCATCAGATCCTGATGTGGAGGGTCAGCAGAGATAATTGTAGAATCCAAATCTAAGTTCGTCCCCACATGAGCAGTGATGAGAACAAAGCACAAATAAAGCATGCATTCAAGAAAAGCTTCGAAGAACTACTTGTTGCAAGAATTCGAGTCTATAACAAATAATAGGTAAAAAAAGAAGATCAACTCGAGTAGGTTTCTGCTTCAGTTACCCTAAAGAAGAGGGTATGACATGCATGAATGATTCTATGATGGCTTCTAAGTTTAAGGATGGAGATGATGCACAGAAAGAAAAAGGAGATCATCATATAGGATTGTGCTATTCAGTGTCGACTTGAACTCATCGACTCTTCCAAGTCCAGCATGCTCTTGTCGGCTTCGATCCAAACCCGATGTTCCATCCTATCGTCCCACATGGTGCGGAGTTTCTTCCGCATGTTCAATGGACGATTGGGATAGTATTTCTCCGTCTTCATGGAGAAGTGCTGCAAGTATTTGTCTGATCTCGTCAAGGTTATGGGGAAATAGACCTTGTTCATCACCTGCCCCTCCGTCGATCTCACCATGTCCGCCATCCATCGACCCACGTAAATAGTCCGATCCTCCAAGCTCCTGACCTCCTCCTTCAGAGTCAACGAGGAATCCACCCTGTGAACACAAACCCTAGTGCAGCAACCCCCGATGAACACCACATGCAGCTCCCCCTCAAACTCCGTCAGGTAGGTCTCACAATCCGCGTAAGTGAAATCTCTGATCACTTCAGCTTCTCGCAATGTGCTTTCCCTCGAGTCGAAGACGCAGACCCTGAGGTCGTACCCTTGGCAATAGAAGACATGGCCGCAGGCAAAGAGCTCGTAGATTCTGGTGAAGACGAATGTCTCGGCGAAGATGCGGACCGTCCATCGATCATCGCCGGGGCGCCATGTCAAGACCTCTGTGCGACCGAGCAAGCAGTTGAGGATGACGGCGACGCAGTCCGGAGCGGTCGGTGCGGCGGAGAAAGCGGCCGTGCAGTTCTGAGGGTACAGGACGCGGTTGGTCGGGGGAAGGTGTATGCAGGTCCTCGTTGAGGGGCGGAAGAAGAAGAGCGAAAGATCGGTCCGCCGCAGCAGAAGCCAACCAGCTTTGGAGGAGAGGACATCGACTCCCGCAAGTTCCGGGAAATCTACGTGGATAACCGCGTTGCGTGAAGGGTCGATGATCCTGCACTCGCCGTTCTCCGGCAACATGAAGAGTCGCATGGAGCGGGCGCCGGGGCGTGGCGGCGGCGGACACTGCCGCCAACTCCTGCAGACGGCGGTGCAGCGGACGTAATCCTTGTGGGAGAGGCGGGAGACAATTTCGCCGAGAACGTCCATGTTCGGGTCGCTCCATAATCGTCCGGCGCCCTCGCCAGTCGGAGATGTTTTGGACCATGATCTGCAGAGAATAATACTCCACGATAAAGATGACAAGCGAAGGATCGAAACAACAAGTACAATGATAACAAGTAAATATTACGATCTTTTATTGCTGATCCTCTTCTTCTTCTTCGACTTTGTACGTGACGGTCTACTCGTCATGCTCGCCCAACGCGAAGGTCAAAACATCCAACAGCATAAAATATAGCGGAGAAGCTTACAATTTATGGAAAGATTTTAGCGTATATATTATTTCTTTCCTAATCTATCTGCAAACTATGAAATCCTTTCTCGTTATCTATTTCAGACTCGAATGTGATTATCCCTTTCCGAGAGGAATTATTTGAAAAAAATTATTATTGGGCCTACAAGTCAACCCCAATGCTCGATCGATCAAAAGATTATTTATTATATATATATATAATATGAGAGTAAAGAATTTAAGAAAAAAATATGAAGAGAATTTCTTGTCAGCAAATTCATCTATTAAAATTTCTTAATATAAACGTATTGACTGACGATATTAATCAAAATCTTAATATATGTTGATCGAATTTAAATAAAATCAAATCCTTTGACTAAAGCATATTCGCGGCGTCCCATTATAACTAAGTTTCAATATCCATGGATCGGAGATATGACCCTCCCGTGAAATAGGTGGACTTCCCATGTCATGCCTATCGCTCTTGCACAGTCGCAAAGATCGGACGAGATGCACGCGTGATAGCTCCACATCGTTCCCGCAGGAGAACACAGGAAGGTGCCAAAAGCCGCCCAGCTCATCATGTCTTGTTCGACGTGACCACGGCAGGTCCGGAATCTGCAATAGTAGCTGGAGAAGTAGCAGCTTCCTCCTCTCTTTCAATCTCAGGTCAACGTATGCTTAATCTTTTAGGGGAAAGCCATGTTAGCACTGGTGTTGGGAAAGGTGAGACGTCGAGGAGAAGCAAAGTCCTGAGATGATGATGATGGCTGTGTTAGGTTCCCATGAACCGATGCTTCGTGCTTTGATTTCTGCTGGGGAAGAAGATGATGGCATGTGGATTTACTTCATCTTTATGACGATCTAAACTCAAAAATCAAAGTCTATTTTGAGGCTAAACTATCTACTAATATGGAGTCGATGAATGTCTTTTATTCCTATTTACGGGAGACTTCTATGGTTTTATTTAATTAACTAAAATATATTATAGATGTTATTGGATTTTATTGACCAATAAAAAAGAAGGATTCCTTATGAGATAATCTTGATGGGAGGAACTCTCTTAATAATTTATCCTAGACTCTCTGTTCTCGTCTATAAATAGACATGACCTCTATGAGCTAAGAGCATCATCTGTGTGTATCTATGTACATAAAAGTACAACTGAGTAGCATCTCAGTAATTAAGAGATTAAGGTTTTTCTCTCAATCTTTTTCTCCCCTAATCCATCAATCTAGGTGGTACACTCTAAATTATTTGATCCAATTTATTTGATTTTAATCTTGACATAAAATTTTTTTCACATAATTACAGATTTTATGCTAACACTTACAAGTTCCATTGGACTCAACCCATCAAACAATATTAGAGAATGTGCAGAACGTGCCCATTGCATACTCTCCGTGGTCTTCAACACTCAGTCAACCGAGTTATACTCACGACAAAATATTGGTCTATTTTGTTGCATATATATATATATATATATATATATATATATATATATATATATATATATATATATATATATATATATATAATTCTTCCAAAGAAAAATCTATGATGTAACAGGATATTAATGTCTGATAGCGAAGATCTTGTGCTCATTTCGAGAACATTTTCTCCGGGCCAAAGACAAGTATAAAGTTTTGATGTGGAAACGCAAAATTAATCTCAAAACTTAACCCTCAAAAAAGAGATATTTAGATAAATACTTCTGAATTTTCTTTTTTGTAGTTAAATCTTCTCATAAAATTTACCCAAACAATTGTCACTAAAAGATAAAAAAAAAATATTTTTAGAAAATGGTAACATGTAACATAATTATCATTTCTTTACTTTTTGTCTTAGTTCTTCAACATGGTAATGATCATGATTTCATAAAATATATCTCGACACACACGAAAAAGTTCCATCTTCCACTTCGCATGGTTTGGAAAACTATAAAGCGGAAATTTCTCATCATATCTCAAGCTGGCTTCTATATATCATGCAGCCTTTTCTCGTATATTATTAGCTCATTATAGGTTTGTGTCTCTCACGAACAGGAGACTTGGGTCGTTGATGAATCAGTCATGTGTTCCCCAGTGATCCTACTCGAGCATCAAACCCTACTGTCAAGATTCTTCCTATATGTGTCTGCGAACTGGACGGAAAGAGATGGAAGACTTATCCTGCCATATCATTTTATGATGCATCAGTCCATCATATATCACTCTCCCAGCAACTGTTGGGTGAGTACAGTGAAAACCCAAATCTTTTCCGAGGGAAATCTAAAGAAAGAGGGACATTAAACGTTGCTTTATGTGTGAGTGGAGACAAAGAAATAAAAAGGAAAACAACTGGATGTATATATTCTGTGTTAAGACTAGAATAACACCATAAACGAGCTCCTCGAACAAGCTAGCCAACCAGAACTAGTCGATCGAGCATTATGTATGTGTATGTCGTGTGTTATTAGGATATGATCTGCTCAGCCGAAGCGCTTCACGAAGAATCACCAGGAGGACCAAGCACTTGGATTACCAAATTGTATCTATTGGCCATTCCTGCTCGCTCCTCTCGATACGAAGCTGAAAGCAGCTGTGGCGATGGGTGGTGGTGCACTCCGTCGTAAGTGACCTTGACGTTGCTGGGGTCCGAGGGAGGCCATTCGACCCTCTTCTTCGCCTTGCATCCCTCTTCGCGGCACTTGAAGTAGCTTCTATGGCGAAGAACATGAAGCATGGAAAACCAGACAGACATTCTTTTCGTATACATATCGAGCGAGGCAGTTGGTTCAGTTGTTTACCTGTTCTTTCTTATCTTTAGAATGAACTTTTGCCCATACTTTCTCCATGCATACCCATCTCCAGGCATCTCAAGGCTCTGACCCACTGTACCTGTTCCTGATGGATCATGTTCTTCGCTGGCCTCCCCTTCCCTACAAAATCACCCTAGAGTGCTAAGGATAGTTTGTATCGCTTTGTTAGATGATTTTGAAAGCTAACCATTGGTTTGTGATGCATGAATGAATGATAAGCGCATAATAACACTCGTATGCCATACAAAAAATTGGAAGTATTTTCAATCACACAGCATGATTCGAAACGATGATTCCCTTCAGCAATTATAGTTACGGAAACCTAAAACACACAGTCGGACAATACTTGAAAAGGGAAGATGCATGCTCATGTTTACCTAAAGCTTCCATGCAGGGTGCAAGCTGAATCAAAACCTAAAAGCGAGAAGAGAACCGAGTCCGTCACTTAGCAAGCTCTATCGTAGGTACAGATACATATCAGCTGTATGGAGGAACAAAAGAAAGAAAACGCAAGAAAAAGGAACCATCGAAAACCATGACAGTACTGCGGCTGTTTTCAAGACACCAGAAGGAAGATGAAGGTAGAAGGATCGCATACAGATAAGCTGTGGGTTGAGCAGCGGCATCCATGGGAGGACTTGTGCTGCGACCTTGAAAACTTGTAGAAAGAGAGTTTTTATGTGGTACTACTTAAAAGGGTGAGAGCGGAAAGATGAGAACGGTGGTGGTGGGTTTTCTTCTTATCACAATCTCAAGGTTATGTTCGGCGGTCACGACTTAGTCGTCACTGGGTTACGTCTGTCACATCGTCACTCTGCTCCCCCTGCTTCTGAGAAGCTGGCAAAAGGAAGGAATGGCTTGACAGAAGGAAGAGTGGGGTCTGATGCAGATCGATGGAAGGCAGCAAGCAACCCAGTGGTTTGCACCACATTAGTCGTCGTCTTCTCGTTGATAGAAGGAACTAGCGGCCACAAATTTACGTTGACCCATCCACCCTCGTCTCCGGGAGTCGTCGTTGCTGAGCACCGGATAAAGGGACTTTAATGCGGCTTTTCTCGACTGTGGAAAACATTACAGGGTTGATGGAGAGGCGTTAATAGCTAATGACGTCGCTTAATAAGAGGTTTACCGTTGACAGGAGATTTGACCGACATGGGTGCGTCAAGATTAGCAAAACTGATGCGGCTGCATCGGCGCCCTTGATCGAAGGCGGGCCCACGCACCGGGGAACATACATTGGGAAATTGTCATTTTACGCTTGGACCCCTTAAGTTCTGTAAATTTACATTTTAGGTGCCCGTAATTTGCACCGTCAGATTTGTTTCAATTGGTTTGATCCGATCCAAATGGTGTCTGTATGAATGCCACATGGACAGCACACCGAAGCACATGAACGGGCTCGACTTTGAGCGCGCGTTCGAGACGTTATGGATTCGATTGAGCCCGTGTTTGGTTGGGCTCATTCGTTTGCGCCTCTTCCCTCCTCCCCTCCTCCCCTACCGTCTCTTTCGCTTCGACGATGGCGAGCGGAAGATGGAGGGCGGTCTGTGAGCGAAGGATAAGGGCGCGAGCGGAAGATGGCGATAACGATCGGTAGTGACGGCGTCGAAAGCGTACATGTTCCTTCTCTTACCTTTCGTCATCTTTTTCTTCTTTACCAATCCATCGAGTGGAGCGAGCTACAGCTTGATTCATTGTTGTTCATGTCAATCGCAAGTTAGAGGTGCACGAGCGCTCGTTCTAGGCTTGGTTGGGAGCCCTAGTATACATAGGGGTAGACATCCCTAATGTTGTAGGGTATTTCTACAACCTCGATACGTGAGACTTCTCTGTTTGTTAATTTACTTTGTAAAATGTCTTCTTTTTTTTTTTACCTCCGATAACCACACTCTCCGCCTAATTTGATCTCAATAAGAAGTTGGTCTTTGCATATACTAACTACTTTTGGAGTGTGATTATTAGAACTCAGAAATAACAGAATCTAGGATGCAGTAGGAAAGAAGTAGTAATGCAAGTGACACATGTTTTTTTTTGCATCCTTTTAAAAGTTTTGCGTCAGGAAAGTAGAAACACAAACAGATCAATTCAAATTTTATATCACTTTCATTTGATAAAAAAAAGATTCAGTACAGACGTATGTTTTAATCTTTGTTACATCATTATATGTAACAATAAAAACCAAAAAAGAAAATTAAAAATCAAGCTTCAACATATCCAACTCCTCACATCTCTCTAAAAAAATCGGTGTAATAAAAAATCAGCATTCTTTCCAAAATCAGACTTCAAAAAGCTCTCCACACATCTCTCTATAAATGGAAAAAGAAAAAGAGAGATTTTCTAGCATTAGAAAAACAAGAAATAAAAGGAAAAAAAAACAGAAAAGGCAGAGGGAAAAAGCCACACATTCCAACATCCAAAAGCATTGCACCCATATCGTTCTGCATTCCTTTTCTTTCGCTTGAAAAAAAAAGCAAAAGTGATATCCTCAATCTTTGTGCTGTTGCAACAGGAAATGGAACCCTGAATTCTGTCGGAGCAATGGTGGTGGCTCCAAGTCGGAGAGGTTCATATCAATCAGGGATCGCAGTATGTCATCCAATGAGAATGGTATGCTGCCATTGAAATTGTTTTGTTCAGTTTAGGTATTTATATTTTGTTATACGACCACGGAAAGTGTCATGAAAAGGCATTCCTCATGTTGTCTCACATGAAGAGAGACTGCTTATCTTACCTTGAATCATCATCCAACAGAAAAGAGTTGTTTGGCATGTTGATTGAGTCATCTGTCATCATAGTTCTCATCTTGGAAATCACCTGAAATCGAATATGTTTATGATGTAAGAAAGTTTTTAACTTTTTCTCTATTGTTGTGTTCACATAGGATGTCAGCATTTGTTCTTGAGTCGGTGGAAGAGATATCAAATAGGTTAAAGTTCATATTTTAATTACTAGGTCATCTCAGAGGACTTCAAGAACAGAGGAGATGTTGATGGGGGGATTCAGTAGGATGAATATACTCACATCCTGAGATAAACCATGTGTGCCATATTTGTCATCCCAAAACATGGTACCAATTCTATAGATTTGAGGAACACTCAAGACCTGGAACCAATCAATTGATATTGTCAGATCCCAAAATTCTATAGTTTTCAGCGAGAATTTAGCTTCTGACTTACTGGGCAGAGTTCGTTTGTGATCTCCTCCAAGGATTTGTGGGACTTCTGATGCAAAACCTGCCCAGGATAAGGTGTGCTTTGTTTACCTATCTGTGTAAAACTATCTGTAATTCATGATGACACGATACTGGACGTACCAGAAATCCGACTGCCTGTCTTATGTGTTGAAGCTCATCCCATGAGGTTCCAGCAAACTGCAAATAGATGGTTAATATTAGTACGGTTTTGGTAGTTCCGATATACCATTGTTTATTTGTTCTTTTGTGCATTTGAGCCAGTGTTAAGTGACTAAATGTGATGCTTATCTTGCTGACTTACTTGTTCTGTTGTTCTGGAGCACCATTGTTCCAACTCCTGTAGTCCAGCCTTAACAAATTCTGCATTGCTAAATGAGCAGCATTCTCGGCGGAGTAGCAAGCTTTACACAAGTTGAAACAGCAATACATTTATATGAGATGTGAATCTCAATTTCTTTTGTTCTCTTGTTAAAATCCAATGCTCATCTGTCCTTTTTTGTCATTGTAAACAGCACATAATAAAGGAGATTAGGAATGGGTACCTGTTAAATAATTGTACATTGATGAATGCAAACACTTGGCTAAAAGTCTTCCGAATTATCATGGAAGGCACCTGCAACAATCAGATTGGAGATGTTATATTGTAGAATAATGCATATTCCAATGTTCTTAACTGTCCGCAGTTAGTTTTTAACATGTTTCTTGATTCCTTACATAGTTTTCATTGAATACAGATAACATTTGGTCCAAACTCTTGACAATGCTTTGCCAGTGTATGCTCGAAGCTTGCTTTGCTACTAGATTGGAATGAATGCTTTTAGATGATCCCCGAATTGATCTGGCTTTGGAAGGTCTTGGTGCCTGTAGATAATTATATGTCACCGGATGTAGGTGTTACTCGTTACTACCGTACACGTGGTCCTCGGATATACCTGTATGCACATAGTTAAGAATGGACTGATCTCCTTCTTCAGACTGTCTCGTATCATTCCATAGATCTTCTCAACATAAGCTGTTAGTTGTTGCTTAAAAAGTAATGCTGGATACTTAGCTTCGATCCTTGATTGGTCTTCAGATTTACCAACCATTCCACTGTAGCCACTTGAAATCCCCATTCCAGATGAAGATGAGCGGGTGTTCTGAAATTATATTTTGGCCAATGATTTATATGCATCAAAATTAGTAAGAATTTTGACAAAACTATATAGTTTGGAATCAGAAATATACTGGGAGCCAGTCTTCTTTTGGGCAGACAAAGGATTAAAGAAAAGCAATAATATGTGATTCAGCAAAACAAATTTAAATTCTTGGTCAAGTATCTTACTCGTGCCATTCTACTGAACAGTGTGACTGTTGTTGCTCGATTGCGGTGTGAACCTGTAGTTGATGCATTGCTTGCTTTAAGTGTTTTTTGCAGAAGAAATAGAAGGGTAGATGTTGTTGACAGCCAATATGCCAGTTCACCAACATTCTCCTGGTTCTGTTAAAAGAAACCAAAAGATTATACATAATGGAGTTTCTTATTTGCAAGGGAAAGAATTTTTGTGAGAGTTGCTTATGCTAAAGTTATCGCTCACAACCTCAACAGATGACCTGATTATTTGTATGATCCGATCAAATATGTTTGTCTTCTCTGCTTCAAATGAGTGCCACTGAAGCAGTGATTTGTAGACAATACATGCTGTGGTAGGCCTCTTCTTGTCAAACCTCTTATATTCCGTGAGACACTTGATAAGCGCATCATGATTTTCCTGTAAGTGTAGAACAATAAAGCATGTGATTCTGAGGAAGGGAAAACCAGGGATATCTAAGAACCCAGAAGTTCATATTAGGTACAGATGATGTAGAATGATTAAGGATTTAGGTGGTCTGTGCTACTACTGGTGTCACTCTCCTATTGGCATAGAAAATCACAGTGTACTATGGATGATAGTAAATACCGAGAGATCTACAAGTATGATGCAAATGCCAATCCATTATTATCATTATAAGTTTAGGATCTTAATGCATACCTGTTGTCGATCAGTTAGAGACTTCTGTTTACTTAGAGCTGGTGCAAGGGGTGCTGCTGCTGGCTCCTGCAAGTGGAATTTTATCAGTCAAAGTTGCAATTTCTGCACCAGACTCAAATTTGATATCTTTATATTCATTTACATAATTAAGCCATGACTTTTGCTTGAACTGAGATAATGGAATATTTGCATAGGTTGCAATTTATGTTACCTTGATTACTGGTGGTTGAATAGATTCAGAAGTAACTGATGGCTGATAAACTACTGCAGGTCGATTGCGAAGCAACTGATTCTCTGACTCCAATGTGCTGATCTTGCCTTCGAGGCTGAAGAACAGTTCCAATTTATAAATCAAGCTCTTTGGGAAGTCATTTTAGAGACAAAATATCAATTCGTAATGTAAGGGCACGTGTAATTCCATATCAGGTGACATGCCTTTTAATTTGTTCTGATAAATCTTCATTTGATGAAGCAACCAAAGCTTGTTGTCTCAGAACCTTGTTTTCAGACTCTAGGCCAGACAAATTTGTTTCAAGTCTGCATGACCAAATAGATAATTAACAGTACTCCACGCAATACATTTTGTTCTTGATGCATATATTTATAGATTCAACCACATCAAGAAAAGATAGACAACATCCGTATCTGTTACCTCTCTATCATCTCTTGCAATTGACTGATTTTTGAGTTGGACTCTTCCGTGTCTTTTAGTAATTCTTCCACCCTTTTCTGGACCTCTGTATATTTTCCCTCAAATTCGTCAGCCTTGGTCTTGAATATACTTAATTCGTCCTGTAGAGTCAAAATACATTTTCACTAATGACAAAACATGTGCCCTATTTGTATGCATACATGATACAATATTCATAAATCTAGATGACCAAATATTGCTTTCTTTTTGTTGTTCAATTTGGTTCATGTAAGTGTTACTTGTTATTTAAAGCGTAGGTTATTTGAACAGAAGTGTTACTTGCTATATATACTTTAGGTATTTTGAGCAGAATTATGGAAACTCAATGTGTTCTTTACCTCTAGTTCTCTGTTGCGGCCTGTAAGCAACTCTAGCTTGGTGTTATCCACCACTGGGACCTCTTTAATAACAGGTGGTGCTTGTTCAATGGCTATCCTAGCAGCCTCTTTCTCTTTGATGATTGCTTCATGGGCTTCATCAAGCTTCTCTTGCATTTCTTGTAATGCAGTTTGTAATTTTGCAATTTCTTGCCCTTTGGCTTCTTCAACATCAATCTACATAAATTCTCCTTAGATTTTGTTTTGTAATAAAGATGCTGCAGATACTATCTGTTTAGGATGATAGCATACCCTCATATGCTTTTCAACATCTAATCTCCAGGTGAGTTCTTCGACCTTCTTTTCAAGCTTGTCCTTGGCTTCTTTGAGTGCTCCTGTCTCTCTTGCAGCCTGCATAAACATTTTGTCAGTACTTGTACTTCTCTTCCATAACATCCAACAAACTGTAGACAAGGTACATATTGTATATCTAAGAACAGCGTACCATTCTTAACTTTCGAAGTTCCTTTCTTCCAATGCGCCCTCTCCAGAGGCACTGAAGTATCAGAGTTGCCTTCTTTTGATATTTATATGCAGAACGAGCTTTGTATAGACGCCATTGAGTCTGCAGGCCACAACAAAAAATAGATTAATACTTCTAATCAATCTTAAGGTACTTATTCAACACAATTTCCCATTAGTTGATTCCACTTACTTGTATGATTATAGCAGCGTTGGTTCTCCTTCTATGTCTGTATTCATTTCGAGCTGCCATCGCTCGTAGTCCTGTTTCTATAACTATTGCAGATGATCGCAGTTTTGTGTAAGCTTTTCTTGCAGCATGAGAACGTGCATATTTCTGAATGCGGATTGAGGCATCTTCTCTCCTCATGCCTTCATATAACTTGCGTGCAAGACGTGCTGCAGATGGTAATAATGCTACATCAAGTTATCTGCAGGACTAATTTGGTATCGTATAAGGTGAATCATAGAAAATAACCTCTCCATAGTTTTTGCATTTGAATTGAGGCTTTGCGCAGTATTATGAATTCTTTTCGAGCAAGATGTGTGCGTATCTGCCTCTGAATTAGTTTGGAAGCATTAGATAAGACTTCCATTCGTCGGGCATCTAGCTCAGCCATCTGACCAGCTCTGAGGAACACTTTTGTCTTTCCTATCTGATAGCAAGATATGTGAGTGGTGTTTAGATTTAGAATATATAATTCATATTCATTTAGATAGTTTCTATCTCTGATGTACTTTTTCTTAGTTTATTGTTTATTCACTGAATGCACCTGATAACCTTTCAAGCTCATATTGTCACATATAGCTGCACATGCTGCTTTTTCGTCGGAGCTGCAAGATTCATTTGGTATGTGGTATTCCATCAGTATACTGAGTTAGAAAATTCATGGTTTCATGCACTATCAGAAAAACTGGTGATCACTCTCTTATAAAGGACATGTACCTGTCTACAAGATCTGGTGCAAGAATTCCAAAGCGATCAACAAATTCATCGAATGTTCTCTTTGTGGGATAGCCAGCACAACTAATCCTGATTGCCTCTAGCACACCCTAGATTAGGAGAGAAGAGGTGAAACATGATGCAGATGGCATTTCAATCCTTAGTGCAAACATGATAATTACATAACTCCAGTGTCAAGTTTATTCACTGACCCCACATCTCAATTGGTTCAGGACATTGAAATTCTCGAAGATGCCTGGTTTTAAGACTGCATTGGGCTTCACACATCTGATGTAATGTGGTTCTGTCGTGCTCAATGTTTCCATAAGTGCTTGAAGTTGTTGCTGCAAATTTCACCTAAAGAACTATCACAAAATTGAAGAAGAGCATCAGAACTGATAATTTTTCAAATCTGTAGCCCTTGCATACCTTAAAGCGAGTGCCTATTGAGGAGAACTTTGACTGTTTTGAAGTTTCCTCTGCTAATGGTGGAAAGAGGTTTGCCACAAAAGGGCACTTTGAATCGTTTAAAAGAGCTTGATGTTCTGCGACAACATAGTCTTTGTTCTTATCAAGGAATTGATCAGCTTGGTAAGTAACCTGTTCAATAAACTTGTTTATTTAGTTCCATACACAATTTGAATCACCTGTAGAATTACTTATCTCACGATTCTCATCTTCTTTTCCTTACATCTCCAGCATAATGGTTGATGGTGAATGCAGTGCGTGCAAGTTTTGGCTTGCTAAAACGTTTGTGGCTTTTGTATGTTTGGTACATCTTCTGAGCAAAGGTCTCGTGAGTTGACTTTGGAAACATACTGCGATATAATTTGATTGTTATCAATGCCCATTCTAATATTTGGTGACCGGTTTAAACATATATCGGTTTAGCATTTCTTAATCAAAATAGTCGTTTGGATACAGTAACAGGAAACATTTTTTTTTTTTCTTTTTTGGTTGCTACACAGTTGTCTCAATAAATGTTTATCTGAACCAATTTATTCACATACTCATACTGAGTCTATTTTCTTTGATGACAAAACAATCATTTGTGATGACATTTTCTTGTCCAGATAATTTTCCAACCAAAAGAAAAGAAGGAAACAGATGTACCATGCTTCATCAAGTAGCGCAACTATTCCGCCGGGTTTCTGCATTGAAACAGTAAGAATCAGTCATCAACCTTTTGTTCATTAATCAAGAGTATATCTTGCACAGATAGTTACTATAGATAGCATACCTTTTCTATGAGATCCAGGACATCTTGGTTATCCACAAATTCTACATAACTCCAGTTGATTTCTTCCCTCGTGTATTCTTCTTGCTCCATCTTGAATACATGCTGTATATACCATAATTAGAATAATTAAAGATGTCCTTTTCGTTAGTCAAAGCATCATTGCAAATGAAACTAAGTTATACATAGTTACATACTTGATTGAAATGTTGTTGCAATTTCTCATTAGTTAAGTTGATACACAGTTGCTCAAAACTGCCAGGAAATTCACATTGTAAGATAAACTTGATGTTAGACATGTAAAGGTTGCCATAATGTGCTCAATGCACCATTTACTTACAAAATTAAGTTTTGTAGCTTACCTATTAATCTTGAAGCTCTCAAAACCATATATATCGAGCACTCCAATAATATTTTTTGCATATGGATCCTGACCGATTGAGTTGTTGATCTTGTCAACTATCCTGCCATGATGTTTGGAAAAATATTTTCACAACAAATGCATTCCTGAAAACCTGTTGGAAATATAAATCTTTGACAATCCAAAAAAAATTAGGTGAACCCGTCTTCTATAGATTGTTATTGTCGGCAAGATTGTCTACAAGTTAAATAACTGAGATTAAGCATGCAGAAATTTCGCTAAAATATAAATGAAAGTTGCAACATATGTAATCTTACCAGTCAAATAACCTTGAGTAGACTGTCTTAGCCAAGGCATCACGGCTTAGTGCAGCAGACTCTGGATCAAGAGGCTTTGTTATTTTTCCATCTGGTGTAACAATCACACGCTTGCAAAGAGAGTCCTCAAGTGCTTTCTCATCACACCTGAGAGAACCGTCATCTTTAGCACGTAGCAAAGAATAAACTTAAAACCATGGAGTGAAATTTATTATGCACAAGATTCTAGTGTCACACATTAGCAGCTCTGTAGCTGTTTTAAGATGGCTGACTGATTTCTCATCTTTCAATTTTGAGGAGTCAATTTCCTTTCCTTTGTCAAAATTTATGTTCCCCAGGTGCAGAATTGCAGCTACTACACGAAAAATAGCTTCCTGTATATGGAAACACCATTTGTGCCAAATCAGATGCCACTGGTTTTTTTTTGTGAAGTTCCCAAGTCAAAAAAAAAAAAAAAAAATCAGACACTAACCTGCTCATCCTGACTGATTCCCACCACATCCATTGCATTTCTAGTCTCCAGGTATTCCCTGGCATCATCCACATTTGCTACTTCATAACAGTTTGTTTGGTTTAGATAATGGAATGCCCTTGGATCTGCTACCTTGAACTTCTTCACATCCTGAAAGAAAGGAAAAGACATGAATAACCACACTGGATCGTAAAATTATGTTCTTGAGAATTCATCGTTTAAACAAACAGGACACTGCATGTAGCATGTTGTTGTCAAGATCAGCTACATATATGACGAGATAATCAACTTTGGCTTAAAAAGAAGAAGAAAAACACACAAGTAAAGATATAATAATGTTGAGCAGTACCTCTGGTGGTGCAGCACAGAGCATATAAAAGCAATGGTAGTTCCTTTCTGGGTCAGATACTTGACATACTCGTGAGCGCTCCAGTAGATATGTGCGGACTGCAGCTCCCGAAATCTTCCCATACTTGTCAAACTGGATCTCAACAAATTTACCGAACCGACTGGATATATATTATATAGTTACTTCTCCGTATTAGAACTCAATCGAGTAATCATTTGCTTGCAATCACAAACATTAAAGAAAATGTCTGCTAATCACCTTGAATTGTTGTTCTTCACTGTTTTGGCATTTCCAAATGCTTCAAGCACCGGATTAGACTGCATCATACAGCATTCTATTCATCAAAATTGACTAAGATTTTCATTTCTGTTTTATATACTTCATAGGGGTTTGAATTACTCATTGTGGGTATAGTGTGAATGCCAAGGGCGATGTGTCTTTTACCTCCAAGACCTGCTGCTCGACGGTTCGGCCCTCTGTACCTGATCTCCCTCCCATGAAAGCTAGATATCTCATGAGCATCTTCGTGGTCTCTGTTTTGCCAGCTCCGCTCTCTCCGCTAACCAAGATCGATTGGCTTCCATGGTCATTTATGATTGCCCTGATATTGCCTCAATGGCAGTTTCATATTAGTACACTTCAATTAGAATGTGATGATAGCACTCTAAACTCTTTACACACTACCTGTAGCAAGCATCTGCAACTGCAAAAAGATGAGGACTTAGCTCACCGAAAGCAGCGCCCTTGTACTGTTCCATCATGTGGACATCATACAGATGTGGAAGTCTCCGAAAGGGGTTCACGGCTATCAATATATTTCCAGTGTATGTCTGTCGAAAGTAAATTTATATTTCAATACTTGGTTCTTCTGTTTCTAACTCCCCAAACAATGTGATTTCAGGTTGATCAGGAAGATAGAACGTACATAAATCTCATTCAGTGCATAGCGAGCTGCGAGGTTATTCAGAACTCCTGGTTCATGGAGGTAAGCCAATTTGGTCATGTCATCCACTCCAGCCTGAGGAGCCTCTGTATCCTTCGGGTATATACTCGACAGACTAGCCACGACCTGTGTAATTGATCGAGACTCGTGAGATATGCTGCTGAAAAGTATTGAGAAATTTCAGGCTGGAGCAAACAATATCATCTTCCGCTATCAAAACGAGAAATTGTCGGCTTCATTGTAACATTTGTCTGTTCTAGTAAATCCATCGCACCGAGAAAGAAACTGTATGATCTTATAAAATATTGTCTCCAGAAGTAGATGACCCATTTGTTGTGACACAACACGAGTAAATCGTTGCAGATTTGTATATGAATTACTAACTGGATTCCATCTTATACGACCCTCGTGGCTTGATTCTTCATGTTGATATATGATTGTATGGTGGTTGAACAAGATGGATTCATTCATGTGTTATATAAAGTTATCGATTCTGATATAAATCTATCAATGATATGAATAATGGAATCAAAATCACTAGAAAAACAACAGTAAGACATCCCTGACAGGCAAAAACAAAAAGATCCATATACTGAGTGTCAACATACTGTCTTCCCATCGGTGGTGACTATGGTGGCGTTGCCGCCTTTGATCGCCGTGACCTCTCCATCGATCCAGGCGGCCTCGGGATCCTCCACCCACACCTGAGACCCAACGATGATGTTCACCGGCGTCCCCTGATCGACACAAGAGGATCAAAGATCCAAGCGATCAGCCAATAAACGTATGCAAACTTCCATGGAATCGGAAAACGCAGTTTGATGATCAATTACTCACCATAAGTGGACTCCGAAATGTTTCTTGATCGTTCAATCACCAAACTCAAAAATCGGAAGGAGAGAGAGAGAGAGAGAGATGGGAAAGAAGCAGAGGAAAAGGGGAGATTGGAATGGTTAAAGCAGCGAGGGAATGAAGGTGGTGGTGGGGGTGGCGAGGTGGTGTAAGTCGAAAAAAGTTGGGAGAGAGGGAGAGAGGGACAGCGGAAACCCAACCTATCAGGAAGGCCAGGTCAGAAGCTGACGTGGAAGACAGTTATGGCGGCGGCGGCGGCGGGAGTCATGGCTTTGGATTCGAAGGCCGTGGGAGATGTTGGATTTTGTGTCGCCTAAATTTCGGTGTCGGTGGCGGTTAATTCCAGCTTGCCTGCTTTAAAGCAAACAGCTTTAGATACGGTAAATCTCAATTCGTCTTTTCACAGGTTCGGAGGAGTTCATCGATCAAAACAAGATTAAGATTTAAGATCAACCGATCGGGGCGCAGCTCAAGCCGTCAACGAAGCGCCAAAAGCCGAGCCGATTGGCGTCCAAATATTCCGGTGACGGCGAGCGGGACCCACCGGTAAAGTAAGGCGGACGGCAGCCAACCAACACTCGGGCAGTCGGTGGCCCCACCGTCTTCCGCCTTCGACATCTTTTTCGGGGGCGGTGGCTCGCCGTGGGCCCGCCCGCGGAGGCTTTCGGCCGTTGCCATCACGGCCGACCATTACCCCGGCCCTCGTGCTCCGCAAGACGCCGTCTCTGCGTGGCTGGCGCCTCGCCAACCCAAAATGGCAGAATAATAATAATAATAATATATCACATCAAACAATCTGTAAAAGCAAACAAAAAGAAATCGATCGGGTTGTGTCATTCCACATTAGTGGATCCAATTGCATCGATCTAACGTGGGAATTGTCATCGATTAGATGGACCAATGGAAACGATTGTGTTACATATATATAAACAATGTCAGATTAGTAAGACATTATTATTATTATTATTATCGTCAGTATTATAATGACAATCGATGAGAAATTGATTCTGCATTCCTTTGTTTGGAACCAATGATGTCACCACACCTGAATCAGACAAACCCACCTGGCAGAGGAGATCTCTCATTATTGCTCCAGATCAAAAGTCAATATTACCATGAGATCGACACAGAATCTTATTCCCAACTTGATTTTGACTGAGCAGCTCGGACAAGGATGAGGTCAACCGTCGCACTCGTGGACTCTCGGTCAATTATCAGGTTTGACAAGTAAATGCTACTTTCGCTTTACATAAAGCCAATTCATTTATCCCATAAGAAACTAATGGAGAAGACACTGGCAAATTTCCAAGTCAATGAAAGTTGGCATTAGAATCTTAGCAATTGAGGAGGTCATAGAATCCTTACCTTTCCAAAGAACTTCTGATACAAATATAAGCTGAAGAAATGACACATACTTTGACATATTGTTCATGTAAATCTCAAACAATTCAATCCAAAAACTGTTGATTACACATTGCTTCGGGTGCCATTTTAACACAAATTATTCTCGCAAGAACGATTGCGATAGACCAAACCTTCTGAGTTGCTAGCTTTAAAACACTTGGATGGAGACTCTCAGCAAATAAGAATCATCTTTATGGCTCAAAAACCATATTCTCGGCCTCCTTCTTTATCGATTGGTAGAGCACCGAGGAAAGATACCGTTCGCCGAAGCTGGGGAAAACAACCTGTGCCAAGGATGAGAAGGAATTCAAATGAGAAGCCAAACACTTACACATCAGTATCACGGTTGATGTTCGAACTGGATGCCAAACTCCTTAAAAGAAACTGTTCTCTTTTTTCCCTCTTAATAGAGACTTGAAGTATTATAATACAAAAGAACGACTAAATATGTATATCAGTGTTGGCTCACTAACATTCATTTGATATTTTTATGTAGCTATTTATCTCAAACGTGTTACATAGAGAAGAATGCAAGTTATACTCTCACTGGAAAGGAAATGGGTACTCACAACTATGAGTTTTCCCTCGTTCTCGGGCCTTTGTGCGACCCTGATGGCAGCAGCGGCAGCAGCTCCAGATGATATTCCTACCTGTAACAGATGTTCCACTTAGATTAACGTAAAATAGAGAATTCTCATACTGATGCTAGATTATAACAAAATCTTGCAACAACAAACAGATGCTTCAGAAAACTGACACTCACCAGCAGCCCTTCTTTCAGTGCAAGAAGCTTTGCCATTTCAATGGATTCATTGCTTGAGATCTGGCCGAACACCACATGAAAGGAAAAACAAAATCTTCATCGTTGTGCATCTTTGATTTTGTACGCTATAGTACAGATTAAAGGTAAAATAAGGAGGATGCAAAGTTTTATTTCTTCGGTTACACCGAAGAAACTAGTCACATGCAAAACAGTTTGATATTGTTGTGCTTAGTCTGAGGAACCATCAAGTCTTCTTATTGATGTAGTGCCTCTGCTTATGGTAAAGACTGCTCAATGGTTCAAGCGCTAATCATGATAAACAAATTGATACATAACTAGTTGTTGAAACTTGAAGATATCCATTAATCATTTCTATCATGTAATGTTACGAGTCATTTTATTTGTGCTATATTTATCAAGGGAAAAGGATGTCACAATAAAGACAATCACATATGAGTCACAATTCAAGATGCCGAATATGCCAGTGCAGAATTTGGTTGAATTCAAAATTCTACAAAAGGTGACTGTTTATCAATATGATCAATTGCAGTATGTTACAAAGTAATCTCCTTGTGAGGCATAGCAGTTCACTGAAGCAGAAATGTTTATAGCTTATTGCACATTTGTTCTTTTCGAGGACAACTGCAGAATCATGACACAGACTCTCCAAAGAAATAGAACATGCACGGCAATGGGAAACCTAAAGACTTGCTAACCAGTCTGGTAGTTAGTCCAATGAATTTCTCCAAAGAAATCGAACATATACGACTATGGGAAACCTAAAGGCTTGCAAACTAGTCTGGTAGTTAGTCCAATGAAATTATTGTAGCAGTGTAACCCGTACATAATTCCAGGAAGCAGATAAAAGAGTTTCCGAGTCGTACTTGAATAACTTCATCAACGAGATTGACGTCCAAAACACCTGGAATAAAACCAGCTCCAATCCCTTGGATCTTATGTGCACCTGAAAATAAAATATCATATGCATGCTGGTCAAATAACTGAATGTGCCAATAACTAAAAGTCATTCTCCGAAGCAGACTATAATCGACGATCTTCAAACTCTATATTAAAAACAAATAAAGCCTTATGATGTTAGCACTGGAAGTAGAAAATGATTAACATGTTAAAAGTTCATGAAAAAATAAGAATAGCAGCAAAACTGTTGTTACTTTGTTCAAATATATGAATATTCAATAACCACAAATACACCATGATCCACAGAAGGACTACAACTATGTGAAGATCTACATGGAAATTGTACAACTGCAAACTTCCGTCGTGATGGCAGTTGCTAGTTAGTTCCAACAAGAAACTCAAGTCCAATTCTTTCAAATTATTGAACTGAGACGTAAAAATAGTTCATGGTCTGCACCAAAACATCGTAGGCTCTTCAAGAAGATATAACACGAAGTTGAATCCAAGATATCTTCCAGAACAAGACTCTAAAAACAAGATTTCTGACATTAGCTAAGTGAGTATTATTTAGTCCACAGCAGCAGTGGTTACTCAACTAGTCAGAGATGTCCAATTAAATGCTGGATCAGGTGAAATGCGAAAAGAATTAATATAAATGATGAATATCTATCTCTGCAACAGGGGATCCCAAAGCAAGAGTTAACTTTGACACACAAATGTGTGCAATGAAGTATGTATAGTCTAAGTATGAATATAAGCTGCAATTCTTTCAGTAATAACATTTAATCTAATATTCAAATGCAGAACTGAAGGAATACAGGAAAAACAAATCAAGAAAAATGTGGACATCTTCTAACTCACCAGGCCTTCCTCCAGATAAAACAGCACTTTCAGCTGGTTCCACACCATAAAGCTTTAGATCAGACAACACAAAATCAAAACGTAAGCACGGAAACCATGTAAATTGAGGAGGGAAGCAGTAGAGCAGAACTAGCGAGCATTAGCTAATTCTTGGTATGAAAGAGGTACCTTAATGTTAGGATTCTGTTCTTTGAGAAACCTCCCTGTTCCAGTTATTGTACCACCTGTACCGATACCAGAGACGAGGATATCCACTCTTCCAGCAGTTCCTTTCCAAATCTCAGGTCCAGTCGTTTCATAATGAATCTACCCAGATACAACAGATATCAATTATAACTATTGTGTCTCATGAAATTATATAATAACCAAACACAGAAATGCACCTTGGGGTTGGAAGGATTTTCAAACTGCTGAAGAATGTATGAGTTCGGTGTTTTTGCAGCCAGTTCCTCAGCCTTCTCAACAGCACCTTTCATACCCAAAACTGGATCAGTGAGGACCAATTCAGCACCAAAAGCTTTAAGAATGATCCTTCTCTCAATGCTCATTGAGGCTGGCATTGTAAGGACAAGCTTGTAACCCTTTGCAGCAGCCATGAAAGCCAGTCCGATGCCAGTATTGCCGCTGGTAGGCTCAATCAGGACACTCTTTTACATGCAGTATTCACAGAGAGAAAAAAAAATGTCAAATGCATGTTTCATCGAACACTGAAAAACATGCTTAGTATTTAAACTAATAGAGTTCGGACATATTTGATTGAATCACAATTGCCGTAAATTAAAGAAGCTAGTTTGGACTCACACGAGGAACACAAAAATGAATGTGCTAGATGTTATCCAAGGCTGGTTTTCTTCTAAAGAAAAGGTAATTATGACCATCTTAAAAGGGAAAATCTGCTGCTTTGAATTTCTATTATTTTTTCACCTGAAGTCATTGTCGAACGGTTAAATTACCTTTCCAGGTGTGATAAGACCCTTCTCCTCTGCATCAGCAATCATGCTGTATCCAATCCTGTCAAGAGAAATAACCTCATAAGTGAAACCAGTAATTATTGTTGGAGGTCCAGACACAAGGAAACATCACATGATGGAAAACAAAGACAATTAGAAAAGGTTACCTGTCCTTGACACTGGAGCATGGCTCCATCATCTCAAGCTTCGCAGCTATACGGGCTCCGCAACCATTTACTACCTTATTGAGATACACCAATGGGGTTCTTCCTATCAACTGAGAATCAAACAAACAAGAAACAAGCAAAATGGTTGTTAGTTTAAACTGTTCAAGAGAAGAGAAAAAACACCAAAGGAAAGCGTATAAGCATACTTCGGTTACATCCTTGGCTATCATCGGACTCGATTCTCCCATTTCTAGGTGAGCTGCGAGAGGACATGACAAAAAATTTACATCATTTTTCTTGTGTAATGGGTTGGTAAAAGACCACTCATGTCATCCATTTTGCTTGATTACTAATGCATTGTGTACATGAACAAGGCCGGCTAAAATAAGACAATGCCTGCTCCGTCATGAAGGACAAAAAAGAATAATTCCATTGCATCAAGATCTGCTTTCTCATCAAAAGCATATACAAGATATCAGTAACAAAAAATTAATCCTAGAGCAATCGATAAAAGGAAAAGAAAAGAAAACATGTAACAAAAATGCCCTCTTTAGCTTCTCATTATTTCTAACCTTGCACAGAGTAAATGCATATCTGAAAGCAAAAAAGAAGCTTCAACCTTTAATATATAGAGCGATCAAGTTCAAAAAATCCCTTTCACAAGTGTAGCATGCGGTTCGCCAAACATAAATCATATAAACAAAGAAAAAAATAATTTTTGTTAAACTTCCAACAGGATTGCGAACAACCTTATTAATCCCAGATCACCAGAACCTCATCCTTCAAGGATACGGGCACAAAACCCTCTCAGTCACAGCCAAGCCAGTACTAGGATTCACAGGGGAAAGGAAAACAGAAGTCCAGAAAACAACCGGATCAAACACATAAAAAAAGAGGCGTTTTTATGAAAACCTTGATCTGATCAAGCGAAAAGCCCTTCCTTTAGAAGTACGATCAAACAGGAAGCTTGCGCTAAGAGATCTGCTATTCTTTCACTCTTCCGTTCATGTTCCAAAGCGCCGAGACCGGCCATCAATAGTGACAGGCTAAACACACGAGACGACTTTGCTACTCTGCTGCAACTTACCCGCGCACCTACCTTTCATGTGATTGTAAGATAGCAATGGAGCGCGAACGAGACCCACAGAACGAGACGAAAACAAGTCGCTGGATGGGTCCACACCTGGGCAATTAAAAGAACGCGCCCGACACCAGCGGTCGGATCTTGTCGGGATCGGACGGAGCAGTTAGGATTCGCTTCTCGACTCGAATCTGTGTGCGGATCTCCGCTCGGCAAACCGGAATGGCGAACTCGGTGGGCGACGATTAGGATCGGCTTCGGCTGTCGTAAGTGGTGACGTCTTCGCCACCAATTTCATACATTAATGGCGACATTTAATGTGATATTAAAAAGAAAAAAGAAGAAAAAAAAGGAGGAAAGCTTTGATTTGATCTGATCCGATCCGATCCGAGTCGAATCCAACATGTTTACAGCAATTCCATTGGATTCAGATCAAATGCATGCTTCTCAGAAAATAATATTCGACATAATTGACCTTTTAGGAAAAATAATGCTTGTTAGATCGGGCATGGATCTGCAACGGGTATCAGGGTCCAAGATCCTGTCGGATCCGCTTTCGGCTTCTAAGCGAATCCAGCCCGACAGGGCCCAAAAAGGCCCACAACGATGACCCGTAGATTCTTCTTCGTGCTGGTGGTGTTGGCGTGTTTAAGACCCACAGGCTACGGAGAGAAGATAAGGTTCGAAAGCATCGGCTCAAAGGTGGAGACTTGGAAGCACGATCGGCGCGACAGGGTATGTCCTCAAAATCTTTGGTTCCTTTTTCGCTTTTCTATTATCTTGTCTCGCTGCATGAAGGAATGTGATTCGAGCGGGAAGGATACTTGCGTTGTCGACTGTGGTTTTAGAAAATTGAGCTGTAGGATTTTGAGGCTTTGGCGATGGAAGACTGTGCTAAAATTTGTAGCTTTGACTTATGCCCTAATTCTTTGTTCCCAAATCTCTAGGAAGATTAAAGATCGTGGTCAAGCAGCGATCAGAACCCCAAATGATAAGAGAGAGTTGGAGGTTATCACTTTGAAGTAAATTTTTGCTGTAAAGACGAAGTCCTAATTTAGTTTTTAGTGAATCTGGCAGTCAAGAACGGAAAATTGTGACGATTACTTACATTCCCTAAGAATGTGAGGCGGTTCTGGTGTCCGTCGATGATGAAGTAAATGCAACCCCTTTCCCCCTTTCCTTTGCATCTCCGGTTATAATCGCAAGGAACGATTTGATTTTAGTGTTCTCGCAGCGAGAATATAATATTATCGAATGGGAATTACAACCTGCATATGGTCAAATGTGATCACGAGTCATATTACTGCATTGTTTGTTAAGAAGTGAAACCTGAGAAAATTGGACAAAGGTCAAAAGATGGATTTCCAGGCTCTCAAGGGATGCTTTTGAAGCTGCTAGGTCATATATATCGTGATACGAAAAGCATGAGAAGGTGATATTTTGTAGCTATCTGAGTTTCTAGAAAAAGGAGCTTGTTGATACTTAAATTTGAGCTTGTCAATGGTTAAAATGTTATCAATGATTGTGGGTGATGAATAGAATTTGAATGGAGAATACAGATGATTATATCTGTAAGATCGTGTATTCCGTTGAATTTTTCTTTACTAATGTTTATGGTTGACAATTCATCTTTGCTTTAAAATGTTCTCATAAAGTGTTCATGATTGGTGTTCAACGTTATAGTTTACCTTGTCCTCATTTCCTGCTAAGTGTTATTTTTGCCACACTACTAATGTTTTCTTGTAACATGTAGTAGACACCGGGAGAGGGAGCCATTGCTTAGTTACCCAGAAAAAAAAAATGGTGGTTTCTCTTTCCTTGATGCGATTTTCCTATTATTGCTCCTCAGAAGTGATTGAAAGAAAGTCTCTATGCCTCTCTCGTAAGTTATGTTATGAAAACCAAATTTCTAATTTGTGTGCCTGTCAAAACACTGACTTCGTCTTCTTGTGACTTCTTCATTTTGTGCAACAGAGCAGACCGACCTCAATCGAAGAGCACTGCCATCTCAGCTTCCCGAGATATTCTGCTTGGAAGGCGGCTTGCTGTGATCAGCAGTGGAGCCTCACTGGTCTTGGTTTCAAGCATAAGTTGTGGCCTCGCTGCATTACCTATCAAGGCAGAAGAAGAGAAGAATCTGGTCGATCAAAAGGATGAGGGCGATGGTGGTGTTTTCGGCACTATCAAGTCCATATTTGACCCCAATGAGAAAACAAAAGCAGGAAAGTTACTGCCAAAGGCCTACCTGAAGTCTGCAAGGGAAGTGGTGAAGACACTTCGAGAGTCATTAGAGGAGGATACAAGAGATGTTTCCAAGTTTAGAAGGACTGCTGATGCCGCAAAGGAGTCAATCAGACAGTACTTGAGCAGTTGGAAGGGACAGCCAGCAGTTGTAGCTGAGGTATATTTGTTTGTACTTTAGCTTGTTGGATGTTTGGAGTAAAATACTCCTAATGTTTAGGAGTGGCTGGCATAGTTAACTCAGAGCTAAATTTTCACCGCCGACCGATTGTGTTCGAAGTCATAAAAGAATCAAGAAATCAATTATCAAGCCTTTCATGCTGGTTCATGAGACCACCAACATCGAGATCATATTTACAAGTGATATGGGTTAAGGGATGGATTTCCATATGTTTAATTCAAATCAAAGCATCTTCCTATTTTCCAACTTCTGGCTCATATTTGCTTCTTGTGAACTTCTTTCTTCAAGTATCTGGATCATGTCTATATCGTTCTTATCCTATTTACTTTGTTTTACATCTGATCATCATTGGAGCCGTCGAATTGCTGTTTTCTATGATTGGCATTTACCTTTTGTTGTTTCAAAACCTGCTCCTTATGCATCTGTCATCAAATTTCAGGAATCATATGCTGCAATTGAGAAAGCTATAAGATCACTGGCCAGTTTCTACTCAAAAGCAGGGCCCTTTGCCACCATGACAGAAGAGGTTAAAGCAAGTATTCTGAATGACTTGAAGACCGCAGAGGATTGTCTGTAACAAGAACATGGTCATTTCCAATTCTTCAGCCCAATCAATTTTCCCTGCTCATTGTGTATGCAGTTTCCTTCACTTTAATTGAAATCTTGACTACTTGATAGTATCATTAGTCATGTCCTTCTGAACATCTTATTCTTCAAAACATTTTGCTCATTAGATTCTGTAACAAATACATGATCATTGCTGCTTTATTAGAAAAATGAAAACTGTGCATGATTTAAGACTTTCTCTCTCCTTTTTTTGTTCCCTTCCTCTACCAAATGATGGTCTGCAGTATCTTTATTGGCTGTGCCAAGATCTACTTGACTCAAACACAGCTTTGCCAGTGTCCACCACCACCTCAGTTGAGCAGACATGGAATCCATCATTCTTGTCCTCACTGACAAGGCCGGCAATCTATCACTCTGACCTCCACCACCAGACCCATTAACTTCCATCATTTACACCAATTCTTCCTTGCTCCCTTTCGAGGATCCCTGTAGAACACTATGAACCATGAACGACTTGGAACATCAAAAGAAACAGTTTTAAGAGAAAGAAAAAGGAACAACATTCCATCTCAAACATAGGATACAATGTGCTGAGAACACTGTATTGGAATCGTATGTACGTATGTACGATCGATCTATACGCCACCTCCAACAGAGGAAGGGATAAAGAACAGCATTTAGAGGTACACAGCCCAGCAAAACCATGCTCTCAGGCCTTGTCGACGGCGGGGGTGGAGGCGAGGGCGAGGAGGAGGTCGGCGAAGGCGCTGACGATGTACTTGTGGGCGTGCTTCCGGTTGAGTGCGAGGTAGCAGAGCAGGAGCTCGTGGAGGTGGGCACGGTGGTCCCGGGCGTCCAGGCCCAGCGCCGCTACCATCTCCTCCATCGACCGGCGGAAGTCCCGGTACGGGTCGGGCGAGTAGGTGGGCACGGGGACCCCGGTCCCGGCCCCGACGGCGACCGCCGCGGAATCCACGATGGAGTTGGACCGGCCCGGGGACGCCGGGAGAAGGCGGCGGGACGCGATGGCGGAGAAGAGGTCGCGCTCCGAGGGGCAGGAGCCGCCGCCGCCGCCGTCGTCGTCGGGGGCGTCGCAGGAGGACGTGAAAGAGGAGCCTGCAGCGGCAGCGGCAGCGGCGACGGCGACGGCGGAGGAGGGAAGAGTCAGGGAGAGCGTCTCGGAGTCTGAGGCGGGGTCATACAGTGAATTAAAGTTCTTAAAGACGACGGGAGAGTCGCACGAGGAAGAGGAGGCGGGGGCATTTTGGGAAGCCGGGAGAGGAGCAGAATGAGAAGCGTGGCGGAAGCCAGAGAAGCACCGATACAGGCTTTCGCCAAACATCTCTCTCTCTCTCTCTCTCTCTCTCTCTCTCTCTCTGTCTATATCTCGAAACAGAAGGCGAAGAAGATAGCAAAGCGGCGTTTCGCTGTGTAATTTATAGTCCTTACAAATCAATATATAATATGCTAAATAATTAGCATTGTGACAACAGTTGTCTGTTTTGTCGTATTAAAAAGGCATCGTGTGTTATTAGCGGGTTAATCAGAGATTCTCTTTAGTTAAACCTTTTCGGTATCATGATTCTTAGAGGCACAAAAAAATATAAAAATAATAAGTAAAAATAATAATTTTAATATTTTAGTTGATAACGGAGGATGGCATCGGTGGTGAGAGACGACAGACATTGTTAAAAGCTATGGGCGACTATTGTGGGAAAGGAGAGTAGAGGTGAGAGGTGAGGGCTGTTGTCGGCGTCAACGCGGTTGCCAAGCGATGAAAGGGCAGCTCGACATCTGCATTGTCGCCAACACGGATGCAGAGTGACATCGCTCGACAATTGCATTAGTGTCGATGCAATTATAGAGCAGCATCGCTATGCATCTTTGTCGATATCGATACAAATGCCGATCAACCCTTTCGTCACTCCATATTTGCGTCAACGTCGATGCAGTTGTTAAGCGATGAAATGGCTGCTCGACATCTACATTAGCAACCCTTTCGTTGCTTAACAACTATATCTATGTCGACACAAATGCATAGCGACTCGTATCTCTCTTCAATGTTTTCCTCATCTACAACAATCATCTATAGCCCTCGGTGGTGTTGTTATCCACCACCACCAACTCGAACGTTAAAATTATTTTTTTACCTATTATTTTTATATTTTCATTGATAAAAATAACGACGTTAGAGTAAATAAACATAGATATTTTACTTATATAATTCAACAAATATATTTCTAAATATTATATCTAATCTCCATCGGATAAATATTTTAGTTAAAAGCCATCAAAGCCTGACAAAGTATAAGAAAAGGACCACAATATTTTGGATATATA